GCTGCACACAGTGTTGCTGATGATCTTTAGGCGCAAGCGCCTTAGTAAAGATGTCAGCTGTGTTGGCACCGGAGGCCAAGTGTACAACGCGGGCCTGGCGGCGCTGCTGTAGCTCGCGCAGAAGAATTACCACAGCTGGATATGCTTTGCTCTGCCCTCGAGTCGAGACTCCTGACACAGGAGGATCATGGCCATGTTGTCAGCGTACACGATCGAGGCAGAGCTAGGCAGCTCACCTAAGTCAGTGAGCAAGAAGGTCAGTCAGTGGAGCTCCTGTGCCGCCATGGCACCGTCGTAGATCTCAACCTCACAGCTAGACTGGGCAACAGACGAGGAGCGGGTGGACCTCCACGAGATGGCACCTAAACCAAGGCTAAAGCAGTAGCCCTAGGAGGACCTGAGGGTCTCAGCGTCATCTGCCCAAGAAGTATCTGTGTGCCCAGTAAGGACCAATGGCCTGCGTCCTACCAGCACTAGCCCCATGCTCGATGTACATGCTAGATAACGCAAAAACCTCTTAGCGGCTGACCAGTGCTGTGGTCGGTGTCTGCAGTGGCCACAAAGCGAGTCCGGATGCTGAGAGGGTATGCGAGATGTGGGCGAGTGCAAGTCATAAGGTACATGAGGCAAAGGACTGAAAGAAGTCCACACCCTCGCGCTGACTGAAGCCTCTAGCCACGTAGCGCGCCTTGAACACAAGCGCCTCTCTCCAGGGGGGCGCTTCACCTTGAAGAGCCATCGGCCATCGACTAGTTCACCCCACGCGGGGGAATTGCGTCGATATAGATGCCGGTGGATCTCCAAGATGCCATCTCCTTCTCCATGGCAGCTATCCACTAAGAGGCCCAGGGTTCCGATGTCGCCTCAGTGTAAGTGCGAGAGGTCGGGATGTCAAAGGCACCTGGGTCACCCTCAAGGACTAGCAGCATGGAACAGAGATGGGCAGCAGCCTCAGACATGAAAGCAAGCTTGTACTGCTTGTCCTCTAAGACGTCACTGCGAAGGGCTGGAGCACCCCCAACGGACGGAGGGCAAACAGGGTCAGAGACCAGAGCTGTTGCGTATTCAAGGTGGTGGGTAGAGGCGAAGTCAACGACTGCAGCTACAAGAGCGTCAAGACTCGAGACAGGAACCGACGAGTCAGTAACAAGGGAGGCTAGGACCCGAGAAATAAGAGGACGAGCGGCACGAAGGTAGTCACACAGAGGGGGAGGCGCGACAACGAGCGACGACGAAGGAGGCAACGGGAGGAGGGGAGGACGAGACGCGTGAGAAAGAAGCAACGGAGGGACAAGCCACGATAGGAACCCCAGGACTAGCACCCTCCTCAACGCTTGCACCCCCATAGTCCACAGACGACTGCTACTGCTGCGGCGGCGGTGGCTGCTGCTGCTGCGGCTGCGACGACGGCTGCGGTAGCTTGTGCGGCGGCGACTGCAACGGCGGAGGAGGAGACACCGGGGGAGAGGCAGGCTGCGAGAACTGCGCCGCGCGGCCACCAGAGTCAGCCGACTCCTCGACCAGGACAACCGACGGGAGGGGAGTGACGTGAGACACACCAGACGGGGCAGGACGGGGAGGGAGGTGAGCAGGGGCTACTGGGGGAGTGGGAACCAGATACAGGGGAGGGGAAACCGGGAGACCTTGGTGGGGAAAGCGGTGGTAAAAGGAGACTGACTCTTTGAAAGTGACGTCACGAGAGTGAAAGAAGCGGTGAGACGGCGGGTGGTAAAAGTGCCAGTCAGACGAGTCAAGGGGGAAACCGAGGAAGACACATGGGACAGTGCGGGTAGTGAGCTTGTCCATGCCAGAGGCACGAACGTGAGCGAGGCAGCCCAAGGCGTGAAATGCAGACGCGTCACCACGGAACCCGGTTCAAAGAAGGGTCTGCAAAACCTGCGGCCGATAGGAGCGTGGCCACAGGTTAAGCTGGTGAGCGGCGTAGCGAACGGCGAACGGCCACAGAAAATGGGGTGCACCGGCATGAATCATGGAGGTACGAGCCACCTCCATGACCAAACCAATGCGTTGCTCAGCGACCCCATTCTGCGGCGGGGAGTCCGGTAGGGTGTACGGCTGGGTGATGCCCTCCGCACGACAGAACTGTCCAAGCCGACCAGAGGCGAACTCGCTGCCACGGTCGGAATGGAGACACAGCACAGGGAGACCGTGGTGGAGGCGCGTGGCTACGGCCCACGGGATAAGAATGTTAGGCACGTCAGCCTTCCGCTCCAGGGGAAACATTGTGGTGTAGAGCGTGAAGTCATCGACAAGCACAAGAAAGTAGCGCTCGTGACGCGGTCCAGGGACGGGGGCTGGGCCCCAGACGTCCAAGTGCAGGGTCAGGAGGGCTATAATGGCCGGGCGAAGCGAGGAGTGATGAGCACTGCGCAGCCGGCCCTTGACGTAGGGCGTGCACGATGGTGCAGGCAAGGGAGGGAGGGCAGGAAGCGACACAGGGAGACCTAGGGCAAGACCGTACTGAAACATGTGACGCAGACGCGGGAGTGCGGGGTGACGTAGGCGGTGGTGCCACAGAAGCAACGGGTGAGTGAGCAATCGACACGAGCAAGCTGCAGCGACCTGGGTAGACGTAGGACTTGGGGAGGACATGCCCCATTGGGGGGGAAGCAGTGTCCAAAGTAAACAGGCCAGACACCGGGTCCCGGGGGAACGTCGCAAGGGGGGCACCTGAGGCGGCCTCGAAACAGACAGTGTACCGTTCGTGACCAGGGAACGTAGTGGTGACGCCGAGGTCCTGAAGACAGCTGACACCAACTAAGTTCCTAGAGAACGAAGGGATGTGCAGGCATGTAAGGGAACCCGAGGGGACCGCTGGACAGGGAAGGGTAGTGTAGTTGCAAGCAACGACAGGACCAGAGGAGGGGTCAGCAAGTGCGATAGCGGCTGGCGCGGCAAGCGGCATGAGTTTGGCGTGTTCACGGAAGAAGCAGGCAGACGCACTAGAGTCAAGTGTGAAGGACAGCGAAGCAGTACTGGCAGTCAAAGGAGGAGCGAGTGTGGAGCCTAGGCTAGACAGGGCAAAAGGTCCTACGTCTGACGCAGAAGGGGAGTCTGGACTACACACAGGTGTTACGCCTAAGCTAGAGAACATAGAGTAATAAGATCCGGACACACAAAAAGCGTCAGCATACAGAGAATGCAGGGCAGCACTAATCTGATTACATGTCTAACTAAAAAACAGGCACACCGTGACGTAGCAGACTGGGCCAGTCAAGGAGGTCTGGGGCCGGGTCGAAGCGGCGACGAAAGAGGTCGTCGAGGCGGCGGAAGCAGCGGGTGGTAGGGTGCGGGCGGCGGCACATAGTGCCACGGAGAGGGCCGGTCGGATCTGGTACTGGCATCTCACAATACCGAAGCTGCTGGTAAACGCCGAGCAACGAGGACTGCCACCACGGCCACCACCTCCAGAGGCTCCTAGCCACCCCGGTGGGATGCGGGCCCACGGCTGCTGCTGCTGCTGCTGTGGCTGGTGCTGCTGCGGCTACTACTGCTACTGCTGCTGCGACTGCTGCTGCTGCGTTGGCTGCGGCTGCTGCTGCTCCTAGACACCAGCCCCAACTCCCTTGTCCGAACCACTGTCCCCGCCACCACCACTACCACAACCAGCACTAGCACCACCACCACGCCCTCCCTTGAGGCCACGATGGCCTCGACGCTGTCGCTGCTGCAGGAACACCGCAGCTACGGTCTCAGCGGCAGGGGGAGCCGTAGCGACCGCGGCGGAAACGTCAGCGTACGTGCACTGGGAGGGAGTACAGCACTGAAAGATAGGGACTGCGGCAACACCGCTCGATTGAGCGATAGTGCGCTGGCGAGTCTCTATTTCAGACAGGGCAGTGACAAAGGCGGTTAGGGTGAGGTCACCAGGGTGCTGGCTAAGGAAGTGGTCGCGGGCAGTGGCTAAGCGATCAGGCAGGCGCATGGCAATAAGGTACAGGGTAGCGCAGAACGGTGGGGGGAAGGCAGTGAGCTGGGCGGCAGTGCTAGCAGCGCGGTAGCTAGTCTCTAGTGCACGGAGGTGAGTGGCGAGGTCAGCGACAGTGGGGAAAGCGGAAAGATCGGGGAATAGCATGGGGAGGATCAAGCGGCCAGTAGAGGCGGAGGCGGGTGTGGAGTAGGGCGCAACTACTGCATCTAGGAAATCCTTGGCGTTCGAGACAGCAGTGAGGGGCCGATAGGGTATGTGAGGGGCCGGCGAGCATGGGAGGGGCCGGCGAGGCGCGAAGGGCCGGTGAGGCACGCGGGGTGCAGGCGGGCACGCGATGGGGCTGACAGGGTACGAGAGGGGCAGGTGGGCACGCGAGGGGCCGACGGGGTACGCGAGGGGCAGGCGGGGTACGCGAGGGGCAGGCGGGCACGCGAGGGGCCGGCGGGGTACGCGAGGGGCTGGCGCTGCACTAAGGGCCGGCGGAGCGCGAAGGGCTGGCGGGCACGCTAGGGGCCGGCGGGGTGCGCGAGGGGCCGGTGAGGCGCTAGGGGCCGGCGGGGCGCTAGGGGCCAGCGTGGCGCGGTAAGGCTAGGGTATGACGGGGCGGTAGGCTAGGGCGAGGGGCGGAAGCGGGTGGGCTGACCTAACCTACTATGATACCATGTTAGAATAGCAGAATGACTAGAAATGATGGATGCAGAGGAACATATGGTTGGGTGTTGTACTCTCTAAGAGCACGAACCCTTCTAGCCTTTAACTAAACATATGCAAATATGTATGAGTTGGCAAGTGGTTTCCAAAGGTATCATTCCAAAATGCCCGTGGGCAAAAAAAAATAAAACAAGAGGCGACGAGATCGTCTTAGGGTTGCGGAGCATTTCATGATGAGACTTTATTATACATAAAATGTTATATTTCCATCACAACAAACATTTGATTTTTATTTCACAAACTTGAAAAAAAAAAAAAAAAACCAGCCCGATCGATTGCAATAGGTTGCTCCGCAACCCAAAAAAAAATATATATATATATATATATATATAAATATAACAGTGAGTGGTACATCTGGAGAAAAAAACCATATTCACACCATCACCATTTCTACAGCTGGGAATCCAAGGATCGAATGACCCACTGCAAGTGAGCTCTCAATTGCCTTGCAGCTGGATAACTCAAATCCCTGGGCACTCCCACCCTATCCCTCAAATACGCAAGGGCAACAGCCAACCGCTCCTTCCCTTCTCTCTCATCATCGCCCTCACTCTCACCGACCAGCACCGCAAGCGAGTGTGATGCAGCAGGGAATGGCCCTGCTGATTCTGTGCCGACCATCAGAGCATGTGCCACGTGGCGCAACGCCTCACTGACAGCTGGGGCCAGATGCTCCTCCTGGATGAGCCGCTGGTGTGCCTGAGTCAGCCTGCTTGAAGGAGCAGCAGCATCAGAGGCGCCAGCATCAGCAACATTGCCAGCAGCAGCAACACCACCAGCTGTTGAAGCAGTGGCAGGATCCCTCAAAGACCGCAGGCAGAACGTCACCAGTCTCTCATGGTTCCCCACAAGAGCCCGCACCACCTCCCTCTGCGCCCTCCGCCCCTCCCCTCCCGTCCCATCATCCCTCCCCCATGCCGTCTCCTCCTCCCTCAGCGGCAAATCCCACGCGCCCGTCCCATCCCTCCCATCAATATAAGCACGGTGCGCCACAGCCGTTGGATCGCCACTGGCGATCACGGGGCCGATTTGAGGCACGAGGGAGTGGGTGATGGAGAAATCGTCGGACTTGAGAGGGAGGTACGCGGGCCGGGAGTGCATAGCGTCGTACCAGCGGGAGAGAGCGGGCCAGCGGGGGTTTGTCCTCACTACAAGGCCTTTCCAGTAAGGTGCACTGGCAGCGAATCGCTCGAGGAGAGGGGCATGGATAATGTCCACGAGAGAGAACTGCAAGGGAGATGGGGTTAGGCGTAGAAGGGTCACAGATGCAGGAGAAAAAAAGCGAAGGAGGAAAGGATTGAGAAGATAACCATGGCGGAAGTGCATTGGAGGCGACCTGCAACTTTGAAAAGGTTGTGACCTTACACGAAAGGTTGAGCAACACATGTGGAGGCAGGAGCACTCAGAGGTTCTGACGCTGACTACAATCGCATGTGATATTAATAGCTGCTTACGTAACAGGGCTGGCATATATGTGTGATGGAAAGCAGTGTGTGAAATTTCATCTGTGAACATAAAGCTCTGCTACCTAAGTTGCACGTTGACATGTTGGTAGTCAGGTTTAGCCTGATATGCCACCTGAAACCTACTCCCATGCCATGTGAGTGCCGGAATAGTAGCAAAAATGACAGAGATTGCACTGGACGCATATTGGTTGTCATGGATGTGAAACTGACTGTCAGATATGCGAAATTGAGTGCCATGTATGTGAAATCGACTGTCTGAATTGTGAAATCGACTGTCACAAACGTGAGATTGACTGTCACAAATATGAAACTGACTGGCATGCATGTGAAACTGACTCTCACGCATGTGAAACTGACTGGCACGCATGTGAAACTGACTCTCACGCATGTGAAACTGACTCTCACGCATGTGAAACTGACTCTCACGCATGTGAAACTGACTCTCACGCATGTGAAACTAACTCTCACGCATGTGAAACTGACTGGCACGCATGTGAAACTGACTCTCACGCATGTGAAACTGACTCTCACGCATGTGAAACTGACTCTCACGCATGTGAAACTGACACTCACGCATGTGAAACTGACAGACGCATCTCTTTCCCAAGGAAGTAAGGCCCTCCACTCTTCACCAGAGCCTCTTCCACCGCGTCAATCGCCGCCTCAAACTCCCTCCGCCCCTCACTCTCCTCCCCGCTGCTCTCCCTCCGCCCCTCACTCTCCTCCCCGCTGCTTGCACCATCGCCACCGTTGCTGCTTCTGCTGCTGTCACCGCTTTTGCTGCTGCTGCTGCTGTTCCGACTGCCACCACCCAGCCACCGGATCGCATCTCTCCCCTTGGTCCATAGCAGCCAAGCCCGCGTGAGCCGCCTCTCCAGCCCCATCAGCTGCTCCGCCGTTGCTGTGGCATGCGCATCGGACGGAGGGGGGAGCAGCGGCAAGTGGTCGGGGAAGGCGGCTTCGATCTCCTTCATTATAGTCACGGACTCTGTGATCACACGGCCGTCCAACTGGGAGGGGGAGGGGGGGTTGCGACAGGAGGCAGAGGGTGCAGAAAGATCGGTATAGCAGCAGAACACACAGAAGAGATAGGGGATAGGTGGGTAGAGGGGTGGGGTAGTGGGCATTGAGGAGCGTTGAGAAGTTTGAGAGCAGTTGTGAAACACACAGGTTATCAAAGGACAGACAGAATGAAACCAGCACACACCCATCATGTTTGTGCGGTAACCAATACACCTCTTGACACCTCAACATACCAGCAAACCCACTGAAATCACCTGTACAGCTGGCAGCATGGCATTGGGCACAAGCTGCAAGAACCAGTCAGGCTTCGGCCCATAGCACTTGAGGTTGATCTTTTCCACCCTGGAGGGATAGGAAGTGTGGGGTGGGAAGGTCAACCTCAAGTGCTGTGAAGGGAAGGAGAAAGAACAGCAGGAGAGGGAGAGTGAGAGGAAGAACGAAGTGGGAGGTGGAAACTAGATAGAAATCGGTCCGTTGGACTTAAGTTTGGTGACTGCGACCCTGGAAGGGAGGCAGGCATCGGAACAGTAGGACAGCGGTGGGCGCGGGAGGACGGGGGGGGGGGGGGAGGGGGGTGTGTGTTTTCGTTCAAGTGAAGGCGTCTCTAAGGAGGACAGTGGGAGAGAAGGAGGGATGGGGTGGCGAAGAGAGAAGAGAGAGTGGAGGCTGGAGAAGCTGAAGGGAGGAGAAGCAGGTTAAACAAGCTGTAGAAAGGGGAGCCGAAGCCTCAGAAATCAGCCTGCACAACATCTCTCACTCGCCTGTTCAGAATCCCTATTACCCACTCGCCTGTACGGAATCCGCTTCTCCCCCAGCTGCAGCCACGCGCGCTGGCAGAAGGTGTTCTCAATGCACTCAATCAGCATCCCTTACTAGTTCCCTTCCCCTTCCCCCGTTTCTCCCCCCTATCCCCCCCCCCTCACCTGTACGGAATCCGCTTCTCCTCTAGCTGCAGCCACACGCGCTGGCAGAAGGTGTTCCCAGACTCAACAATCCTCCCTTACTAGAACCCCCCCCCCCTCCTCCCCCATTCCCCCCCCTCCTCCCCCATTCCCCCCCCACCCACCCCCATCTTTCCTCACTCACCTGTACGAAATCCGCTTCTCCTCCAGCTGCAGCCACACGCGCTGGCAGAAGGGGCACCACGCCGCATCGTCTCTGTACAGCACCACTCTCACAGCCTCCCCCTCCCCCTCCCCCCCTCCCCCCTGTCCGAACAGCCGAGTCGACGCCTTCGCCACGTTCTCCCACACTCCTCCGGCGCCACTTCCTTCTATCCTTCCCCTTTCTGATCCTTCTCCCGTCTCCGCTTTCCCCATCCGCTCCAGCCTTCGACGGAGTTCGTCAAGCGAGGGAACCCCGGCTGGGGCTGACGACCCGGCGGAAGACGCGGCGGAGGATGCGGCGCATGTGCCGGTACGTAGCAAAGAGCGATTGCGCCGCCGCTTGCGGGTACCTTGTATGATGCTGACGCTAACGGATTGCGGTGACGAGATTATCAAGCGAAGAACGGGAGCAGGCCGCATACGGCAACTCGCGTGAGTCGCGGTCGCGGAACTGAGGGTCACCACTGGCAGGTGCGAGCGGGAAGCTGACGGACGCCGCGGCGGATTTACAGCCGCGTGCGAACCGGGATTGAGCGCCATTGATGGTGCAGTTATAGACGGAAGGATCATTACTAACTGGGAATATGTCAGCATCATATGCAGTTATATGCGCTGCAGAGCGAAAGTGAGAGGTGTGGGATGACCGATAACGGACGGCTGGAATCACGAGCTACGTCCCTGTGCGGCAATTGACCAACTGGCGACACGTCGAGACTGGAGAGGTGCAACGGGTGGCTGTGCAAAGAAAAGGAATTGACACGCAATGGATGTCAGGTTTGGGGTTGCCTGAGCGTGTCAAAAGCGTTCGGCCTATCAGTTACCCGGAAAGCACCTGTAACCATGCAGAAAAAAAATGGGAGACACCGCAGGGCCTGCCTCTCGGCGCTGTTCAGAGTACGTGCAGCAGTACGTGTTAAAAACGTGAAATATCTCCACTGCCCATTTCTATTCCCTCGTCAAAGAGCTCGCGATCTAGGGATACCAGTCGTCCCAGGTGAACAACTTTCGTTTGGCGAAACTTGTGCATCCTTGAAGCTCGTCTCGTCTCTTGCTGGACGCGTTCTAGGTTTTGTTCGCTTTTCGGTACAGTAATCTGAGCAGTACCGCATGACATCAATCCTGTGTCATTTTCCCAAAATGAACGCTTAGGGCATTTCCCCAAAAATCGTCAACCGTTTTGGACACGTAGAGCTGTCTGACGGTACGCAATGTGAATCAATTTTCAAACTGATCCCGTTTTGGGAACAGGCCCAACATGAAGGGTGCAGCTCGGAAGGACAGCACCGAGACCAGCACAGACATGGTGGCGGGTAACGGGGTCCCGCCATGCGAAACTCGCGACATGTCGTGGTAGTAAATTTGGTCTGGTTTGTCTTGCACTATGTGGGTGTGGTGGTTTGGCAGGGAAAGTTTTCTTTGTCGTGCGGAGGTACCTGGAAACTTGTCGGCCAATTTTGGGTGTGAGTTGAGCGTGTCCTTTTTGGGCGCGTTTTATGCTTACATGCCTAAAAGTGGTAACTGAACTCGGTGATGAACAAGCACGTACTTTAGTGACACGCCCTTCTGACACGCCCTCGAAAGCATCTTGAGGACACCACTATGTTCCTATACCGAGACCTGCCTGGATTCAATCAGGGAATTCATGCATGGAGTGACTATAGCGCGTTCAGGAGAGAGGTTAGTCGGACTGAACTCCGAGTCATGTCCATCAGGCTCAATGGACTGTTTCTCGCTCGCTGCCGCGCGTTTGGCCGGGACAGCTGCAGAGAGGCTACGGGTCGTGAGATCGAACAGTGAATATTAGTAGCCAAGAGTGCTGGTTCACGTCGTAAGCTCCGCTGGAACATCCCCTAGAGCAAACATGATGTTGGGACCTCTGAAGAAATTTATCCGGCTGACCACCTGTTGTTTCAGGCCGGGCGACGATGTCACCTCTGATGTCGGTCAATCGCAAGAACAGGAGATTCACCTTTCAGTCCAGCGATCCTATGTCGGAGCTTTTTGGGATTTTGAGAATTGCGCCATCCCCAACGGATGTGACACAGCAGATTTCGTCCATCGGTTGAGAGCTGTTATTCTTGCATACGGAGAAGTGATCCGGTTCGCGGCTTACGGAAAACAGGAACTACTGGGTTCACGCGCGAGCGAGCTGCAAGTATGCGGCGTGGAATTCGTGCAAGTGCCGTTAGGGAAGGAAATGGCAGACAAGGCCATGATCCTGGACGTTATGTGCTTCGTTTTTGACAGCCAGAGAGAAAATCGAGAGACTCAGGTCACTGAAATAGGGGAACCCGCGACCTTGAATTCCTCAACGTGCAGGTATGTTCCGTACCTACCCTCCTTTCTCTTACGTTCATATCACTTCACTAACGATGCGTGTTTTCCATCACATCACTCAGGTCAGTCCCTCTATGCGTGGTGCTTATCACTGCTGACTCTGGCTTCGCTCCTCTCGTATCAAGACTCCTTGACCGTGGTGTCAAAGCTGCTGTCGTAACCAGAATACCCAAAACTCTGCCGTCGAGGCCGCATCCAGTATCCATGCGCCTACTGACTTCAGGAGCTGATGTTCATGACTGGGACGGCATACTCTCCAATGGATTCTCGGAGTCCGTATCATCTTCAGCAGTGCATCCAACGGCTAGGACTGAAAGTGAACATGTTGAGGAAGCAGAAATTAGAGCAGCTGCTGACTGTGGGTTATGCAGGTTGGACCCAGCTAGGGCATTATTCGTTGAAGTCTCCCTAACTGCTGTGAAGAAACGTGCTAAGCAAGGGTTCTCAGACGACGAGATTTCCTTGGCAACTCTCAGGTGCCAGGTGATGACTGTGCTGGCTGCTAGTGGGAGGCTCTCCATCAACATGTTTGACAAGGCTTTTTGCAGTCTCATCGGCAAACCAATACGGCTGGCAGACTATGGCCTGAGACGCCTGAAGGACCTGGGAGACGTTCTGCCTGACGTGGTGCAGCTGAATTCTGCTTGGTCAAGATTTGAGAAATCAAGGCACCTTCCTTCAGCTGTTAGAGAGAGGATATCTCAGCAGCGAACACTGCAGCTCGTTTCATCGCCACAGAACTTGAGAAGCTTGGGGCTTATCCAGTCAAGGATGAGGCATCTGGCGCATGAGGCGCTGGCAACAGTCGTGGCAGACAGAGGCGTTATGACGTCTTATTGCAAAGGAAGTGGGCGTGAAGGTTGGCTTCACATAGTTTCGCTTCAGGAGGAACTAGAAAGAAGAGCTGAGCAACCTCTTTGCTCTTTACTGATAAGGCATGGATTCTGGGAAGCAGGAAAGCAGAAGTCCCAGCTGGTCTGGAGGTTTGCAGCACTGCTGCAAGAGATGCCTGATGTTGTTCAGATGCGGGTAGACACGACAGGACAGGTGCGAGTCTGGCCTGTTGGAGGTCCAAGGGACAGGCTGGTTACAGATTGGGCATTACAAAACCCCACATGGGATGGGGTGTTGTTCCAAGCCGTCCAGCTGTGTACAGTTACCTTGATTGTACAAGCTGTCCAGGAGCCTGTTCATGGCCCAAGCGCGGATGTTACCATTACTCAGGAGGAAGGGCATGCTGCTGCGAAATCCCAGTAGCGAACAAACACATTCAATGGGACCAAGCTAAGAATAGACTTCCAGTGTTCAGTGGGTGGCGGATGGTGATCACTTACATCAGTCCATACCAGCTGCATTTCAGTACACCTGTGGGCTGGCCAGAATGGTTTCCAAGGTGACCATTCCACTCCACAACACCAATCACAAAGCAGGCGCTACCTCCTCTCCTTCAGCCCGTGCCGTCAATCTCCTTCTGGTCCATGAATCACCACCGCTATCCTTCCCTCCCACGCTACCCAAACAGTTCGGCCTAGTGTAGTGCACCTGCATAGTGTCCACCCTCTAAAAACCAGTTGGAGTAGAGCCACTGTCCAGCAGTTGGTTGGAAACCAACCAACGTCTCACAATCAACCTTCACTGCACCAAAGTTCAAACCACAGATAGCATGAGTGTTAGGTAATCGGAAAAAGCTGTCCTAGTGGTGTCAATGGACATTCCTTCGCAACGTGAAATGAAAAATATGCTAAGCACTCCACATGCAACATTAAAAAGGGGATGGCTGGAAAAGCATCATCTCTGAATAGCTGATGCTGGGATAGGAGCCCAATTTAGTCAGGTCTTGATAGTGAATGACCTTCTCAGGCGGTTGTACCTCAAGCTAGAATACCGTCTGCCAGTCATAAGCTGTTGAAAGTACATCAAAAGACTTAAGCGTTTCTGAAGTGTAACACTACACTCGAGGAAGATTACAAGGGGTACGCGAGTCAACGGAGGTTACACGAGGGGGCGGACAAAGAACACGAAGGGTCTGGGACTCAAAGGGTCGCAACTGGAGGTTGCGACTGACCGTTACAACATCACGGATGGTAACCGAAGCGGCAGTCGAGTCGCTGTGCGACTCGATAAACCGTTCCTGTAACTGCACTTTACAACTGCTTTCTTATCTTCTATATATTGCTGTATGCTTGTTTCTTTAATCAATCACTTGTTCTCATATACTAGTACAAGGGTTCAACTGTCTCAACTTCCGCTGCACTACTCCAAGTCTCAAGTCTCTACAAGCTGGGACTTAGTCTCTGCAAAAGATCCTAAGGGCTTTTTCTCAGCCCAACATGGTATGAGAGCTGGTCAGAGACCAAACTCCCAGCAACTACACTCCATCAACAACCAACAACTCAACTTGATTCAACAACTCCATTGATTACAAGACATGGACAACAAGGGCAAGAAAGCCTCTACGGGCTCACCCAGCGCCCAAGAAACTCAACACGGCAACTCTGGTCTGCACACCTCAGGACTGCAGACAGAGACCGGGACTGCTCAAGAAACGACGGGAAGAGTACCAGAGATGGTGACTCCGTCTCCCTCTTCAAGTGTGGACCCGAATCTCATGGAGAGATTCTTCAGCTTCATGTCACACTTCGACCAGCAGCAGCAGACAAGGACACCTGCGCAATCAACACAGAGCAATGGAGGGAATATGGGATTAGCACCGATGAGCCTCGACAACTCATCCTTCGGGCGACACAACCAAGCGCCTACCTTTGCGCCTTATCATCCTTCGCCGGGGACGTTCGAGTTCATGCCGCCCCGTGCCCAACCAACAGCAGCTGCATCACAACAAACACCAAACGAGATTTTAAGTCTCCAGGCACAGTTCTCACACGTGATTAAACTGCTGACATCATCACCGTTCAACGGACACGACTTCTTTACCTGGAGCTTCGAGTTCGAGCTGCTGATGGAGGCCGCGCATCTTCTGGGATACTTCAACGGGTCCCTGCCATTCCCAAGCAACGGCACTGGGAAGGAACAAGAGATCTTCACGTATCAGTCGCTGCTGGCGTACACGGTACTCCTGAGAAACCTGTCACCACAAGAGCAGCAGAGCATCAGAACGTATCGGAGTTATGGAAACTCCGCGGAGCTCGCATGGCACCACCTCAAGTGCCTTTACCAAGCAAACGACAGCGTGACACAAAGCAGACTCATGCAACAGCTGACAACAATACAGATGAAGACCGGGGAAAAGGCGATGCAGTATATGAGTCGCTGTCAGACTCTCCGCGACCGCCTGCTTCGGTGCGGAGGAACGATCACTGAAGAAAGCTTCGTGACACTTGTCCTCGCCGGGCTCGGACCAGAATGGAGAACCACACGATCGCTTCTTCGCGCCCACGGAAGGATCTCGGAGATGCACCTCTGCGCCGAGCTTCACGCTGAACAACAAGAGATGGATCTGTTCGAAGAAAGACAACCAAGGAAGCAACAGCAGTTAGTCTTTTACACTCAACGAAGAAATGACAACAACTACAACCGACGCAGCAAGCAAGATCAACGTGACAACCGAGGACTCACCATCGTGCCGCCGTTCTGCCACAACTGCCAGACTTCCGGGCACTCCAAAGTCAACTGCAACCGCCCTCGCGTTTACCGTGAAGCAGACCCACAAGTCGCTTCCACTCAAGCCAGTCCTCCAAGGCGCTCTTCAACATCTGCACAACAAACACCCAACATCATCAACTGCATGGTACACATCGACAACTGCGCACCCGGTTCACCACCCACCTACGCACCAGACGAAGCGGAATTCCCGCCGCCGCGCTCACAAGGACTTCAGGTCAACCCGACATACGCTGCAGTCGCCAACGCCGAACCCACCGGGCGAAACACCTGGTTCTTGGACAGCTGCTGCGGTCAACACATGTGCTCCTCGGGACGCTTCGTGCAACAGGAGAAACGACTCAACCGCGACGTCGTCATCACCGTCGCCAACAACGAAAACCTGAAGACAAACAGACAGGGCGTGGTTCAGTTACAATCCATGGAGACGAATGTCATACTTCAACTCAACAAGGTGCTCATTGTCGACAATCTGGGATACAACCTACTAAGCGTAAGCCAACTAATGGCCAAGGGAATTCACCTGGAGTGCGACTCTTACTCCAACGAGTTCCGGCTTTACCACGGGAAGGGCGGCCTCTTCATCGGTCGTGCCCTCCTGAAGTCCGGCGTCTTCGTGTTGGACTTCGTCCCCGACCGCGGAACTGCCGACAGCGATGGCATCGTATCATTCGCCGCCTGGACTCACCCGCCGGATCTTGATCCCGACTTCGACAGTGATGGCTTCTGGCACTCCAACACCATACCTGCAGCAGAGAGAACACGAGCATTAGTAGTCATCAAACAAGAAAGACAAGTACCCGCAAGCGTCCCAACAAAACCATCACCTGCAGTATCGGTAGCAGGACCCAGCCGAGTACCACCACCAGCGACACGAGGACCGCCAACCGAAGCAGACCAACTTATGCCCGTCACACGAGAAGCTTGTCGCAGTCCCGCCTCGGTCGTCGCGTTCTTCTCCAACGCCGACATCTACCACCGCTCGCCCGGTCACCTTGCTCCCGACGACATCTGGCACCAACGCCTCGGACACCCTGCAAACAGCACAATACTTCAAACAATCCAAGCAGAGGTGTTAGAACGCAACGCCCTTCTGACGACGAGCGGTCAAGAACTTCGACGACCACGCGCACGGTGCTTCACATGCCCCGAAGCAGATCTTCCTCATCAACCTTTTCCATCCCATCACAACCCAAGCGCACCTACTTACGCTCCGATGGAAAAAGTCTACAGCGATATTTTAAACATGCCTCGAGACGACGCCGAAGCCGACTTTAACTACGTCATCACTTTCATCGACGCCGCAACCAGATATGTCTGGCACTTCAATCTCAAAACGCGCGACCAAGCCTTCGAAGCCTTCACAACATGGCTCCCCATCGCCGAACGAGAATCAGGACTCAAACTCAAGAGCTTCCAGTCAGACGGTGCACTGGAATACCAGTCACAACGCTTCAGGACCTATCTGGCGGAAAGGGGAATCAGACGCCTGGTGTCCCTGCCCTATGCTCACCAACAGCAGGGGGTAGCAGAACGCATGAATCGGACCTTGCAGACGACGATGCGAAAACTTCTTCAGGGGATGCGACTGCCAACCACACTGTGGCCAGACGCGATGACACATGCTGTTCACCTGCACAACCTGCTGTCCTCGTCATCACTTCCCAACAACGCATCACCGCACCTGTTGTGGACAAGAAAAAGGGGCAGCACAAAATTACTCAGAGTCTTTGGCTGCATGGTGCAGTACAGACCCCACACAGCCCGAGCAGGACGCTTCACACAACGAGCTCGCTGGGGACTCCACCTCGGCATCGCGAAACATTTTCACGCGTGGAAAATTCTCGACATACAAGACAAAAACACGGTGGCATCACGAGACGTTATCTTCTACGAACGACTGACTCTGCAGCATTACCTGGACAACCTTGCCAACACACAAGACCCCACCGACGGCCTCTCGGGACTTCGTTCCTTCGCCGATCGTGCTGCCGAAGCTGACGCAGCAGAAGAAGACGTACCTGGAGCCTCGGAAGCTGCCGGGCCACTCCCATTCTGTTCCGTACCTGTTCCACTCGATGAAGATAATCCCCTCGATAGCAACAACCTCGACACCTTTTACCACTTCGCCGACCAAGGTTACGCTACACCTCACCCCGTCGACACGAATATTTCGGAACGCATCGGCCCCAATTTCTTACCTGACCCCGAAGACGGTGACGAAGCAGCTTATTCCGGGAATGACAATTCCCCTCGACACACACCCACGGGACTCCAGATTCTAGGCCTCTGGGTCTCCGTCCAGCATCCGCCGCCGCCTTCTACGCGTGAGCCTTCAACCTTGTCGCAGGCTCTGGGGGGGGAACATAAGGCAAAATGGAAAGAAGCGATGGAAAAGGAGTTAAAAGCTCTGCAAGACCGAGAAACATGGAAACTGGTACCTGCAACGAGCATCAACGGGAAGAACGTTCTCTCGGGGAAATGGGTGTACCGCATCAAGACCAACTCAGACGGCTCCATCGAACGATTCAAAGCTCGATGGGTCGTACGAGGCTTCGATCAACGATACGGAACCGACTACACAGAAACCTTCGCTCCAGTCTCCCGTCACACCTCATTACGCATCCTACTCGCCGTCGCGGCCACAAAAACACTACCACTACGCCAAATCGATGTCGCGAATGCGTTCCTATACGCACCTGTGGACGCTGAGATCTTCGTCGAACAACCCCACGGATTCATCGACGACCCCACGAAAATATGCCGACTGACAAAATCCCTATACGTGATCAAGCAAGCCCCGCGGCTCTGGCAGCAGCATCTTCACAGCCGTCTCGTAAAAATCGGCTTCCTACAGCTGCCGCATGACCAAGGGATGTACCGACTGCAGAAGGGAAGAGAGTATGTTCTGCTCATCGTCTACGTCGACGACCTGCTCTACATCGGCTCCACTACCGACATCGCCACCTGGTTCGAAGGGGAGCTGAAAGAAGATTTAACTCTCACGGTGTCCGACGAAGTTACGCAGTACCTAGGACTGAACGTCGTCGAAGACGACACGGCGTTCTACCTACACGCTGGAAAGTACTCAAGCACCGTCGCGAAGAAATTCGGTCTAACACCGACTGCGGTCCCAACTCCCTACCGCTACGGGAACAACAGCAGCGCCTCTACAAAACTCCCCGCGAAACAAATCCAGGAGTATCAACAGAAGCTCGGCTGCCTACTATTCGCATCAGTAACCTGCCGACCCGACCTATCCTATAGTGCGAGTCAGTTGGCGACACATCTGAAGCAGCCGAAACAGGAAGATCTCGAGGAACTCAATCGAGCGCTACTCTACTTCGTCTCCACGCCGACGATCGGGCTCACCTACAGCAAGGCCACAACACCGTCCGTACGACTACTCGGATACGTCGACGCCGACCACGCGGGAGACAGCGAAAATCGACGGTCTAGGACGGGCTACATCTACCGACTAGAACCTATCGGAACTATCTCCTGGCAGTCGAGCAAACAGGAGTTAATCGCACTATCCTCGGCCGAAGCAGAGTATATCGCCCTTTGTACTGCGACCAAGGAAGGACTCTACTTACGGGAGTTACTCGAGGAAGCGAAGATTGCGACCCTACCCGCCTTCTCACTCCTCTGCGACAACCAATCTGCGATCAAAATCGCGAACAAGGACGGCTTCGCCAACCGAACCAAGCACATCGCCCTGCGGTACTTCTTCGTCAAAGATGAAATCGCGAAGGGGAGACTTCAACTTAGTTACTGCCCGACGACAGAAATGGCCGCAGACTATTTGACGAAGAAATTGGCGAAGACAAAATTCGACTACTGCATGGTGCTGACCGGACAAACAAACGTCATCGGACCTGAACAAGTCAGCACTCCAGAAACGAAGGGGAGTGTTGAAAGTACATCAAAAGACTTAAGCGTTTCTGAAGTGTAACACTACACTCGAGGAAGATTACAAGGGGTACGCGAGTCAACGGAGGTTACACGAGGGGGCGGACAAAGAACACGAAGGGTCTGGGACTCAAAGGGTCGCAACTGGAGGTTGCGACTGACCGTTACAACATCACGGATGGTAACCGAAGCGGCAGTCGAGTCGCTGTGCGACTCGATAAACCGTTCCTGTAACTGCACTTTACAACTGCTTTCTTATCTTCTATATATTGCTGTATGCTTGTTTCTTTAATCAATCACTTGTTCTCATATACTAGTACAAGGGTTCAACTGTCTCAACTTCCGCTGCACTACTCCAAGTCTCAAGTCTCTACAAGCTGGGACTTAGTCTCTGCAAAAGATCCTAAGGGCTTTTTCTCAGCCCAACATAAGCCACGTCAGCTTCTTCCATCGGCGGTGAGCGCAATCCCGGTCCACCGTAGTACGACTGGGGCCGCCTGGCGATTACAACAACTCGCACATTCTGGCACTGCAGGTCTTTGATGAGTGGACAGAATCCAGAGTCGCCAGATATGAGCACCACAGCTGGCCTGGAGGAGGAAGTGGGACAAAACCGCAGTAGATATGGTTGAGGAGTTGGGTTATTGAGAAAAATATACATAGTGGAGAAATGTAATGGCACCACGTAAAGTAGGACAATAACGTACCTCGGCACGGCATGCTTGTTGTAATAAGCGAAGGCCAAAGCATCGTTGCAGATCTCAATGTCTGCCATGTTTCTTCCAGGCGAAACTATTTTCACACTAACGCCACATCCTGGCAGATCAAGCTCACGCGAGGCCACTTGCGCAGCCTTCCCATAAGCATTGAAGGTGACAACGTGGCCATACGCTGACGCAACAGAACGGAGACCACTAACGACCCTCGAAGTTGCGACACCACTAGGAATCTGACAATTCTCGTAGTCCCAAAATACTGCCACAGCAGGCCACGTGACGGGCGGGGCGCGGTATGCATCAGATGAGCCTACAAAGTAGTTGCTGGCGGAATGCTGATAAGTTTGACGTGTTTCCTCTTGTCGTTCACCACCGCAGCACAGGGATATAAGCTGCAATAGAATCAGAACAAACATAACAAGCCCCAACATCGTTTCAGACTTGATGGCCCTCCTTGAGAAGCTCTAGACTCTCCAGGTCTTACAAGAACGGCGTGCTCCTCCTCCGAAACTCCCCCTATCTGGTCTAAAACGGGTCTAAAACGGGTGCATAGATGACCAGATCCAACCCCGGCGTGCTCTCAACCCCGGCACTGCGTTGTATGTGCGACAGAAATGCTATTGGTGGTCCAAGGGACAGGCTGAACGTCGTCTTGTCTGCGCTCTCCAGCAGCATCGTCTGACGTTTGTACTGTAAAAATGCCTTGAGAGCTCCGAGAAACCCTTCCTCTGACGTTCCAAATTTCCGTCACATTGCAAGCCATGGGTCGCATTCGTGCTGCTGAACCCCAAAACGCGCAGAAGGTGTGAGAAGAACCCATCAAACCGGAGCTAAACCAACCCCCGCAACTAACCTATCGCTTCTCTACTTTGAGCAACCCGCAAGTAGCGGGCCAAGGTTGTCGTGATGGCTTCCTGGATGGCTTACGCGATGCAGGTAGCAGCATACTCGGGGGAAGGAGGAACGAGAAATGACGACGGATGAAATCTCTGGAGGGGAATGGGTAGCCTCAGCCGAACAAGGACAATGCCTGGTGGGCTTGGGCCATACAAGAATCGAGGGAGGAAGCTTGGCATGAAGGGGAAAAAAACTCGCTAAGGAGGAGTGCAGTTATTGTATTTCACTGTGGAAAAACTAATATGGCAACATACACCAGTAGAACATCTACTCTGAATGAATGGACTTGAGAACTTGTAAAATGTGTACGTGGGAAATTAACTGATGACACTTCTGTCATCACATTGCGTACATAGATGTAACCTCGCTCGTGGAACAAAAAAAGAGGGCAACGGAGGCGTTATTAGCAACTCAATTTGATCTTTTGTATCTCTCCACATAACAAATCATACTACCAAGGCCAGAACTACCACCCCATTCAGTTACAGATCAGGGCAAGAGGTGTACCGCCCACCTGGCTTCATCCGGCTGTTGATTCTCTTAGAGGAGGTCCTGGTACCGCGCAGTCGGAACAGTGTACACCACGCACCCACGCAGCAGCGCGGGTAGTGTGTGCATGGTGGAAGCTGGTTACAGTTGATCTCAGAGCAGCAGGGGTGAGAAAGAGGTGGGTGGCGTGCTGCTGAGTCATACTAGTGCGCCCGCTGACTCCAGCTGCCAGGCTGTGGTTACGCGAGAATTTTGTCAAGCAAGTGGTGCATAGCTGGGCTAAGCACATATGGAGGGCTTACTGCCGCTGGTTAAGAGGGTGCCGGGCGGGTTGATGCAGGGGGTGTGGATGCAGGGAGGGTGCATGCAGGGAGGGCGGATGCAGGAAAGGCGGATGCAGGAAAGATGGGGGTAGTTGCGCTGCCTGGCAGCCCTCGGGGCACCTCTGCCACTCCATGCGGTGCAATCTGTTGGTCGTCAGTGGTGACAGGCAAATCAGGAGGAGCTGTAGCAGCACGCGCTGCAGGTGTGGCAGCAGGTGTGGCAGCAGGCGTGGCATCAGGTGTGGCAGCAGGTGTGGCATCAGGTGTGGCAGCAGGTGTGGCAGCAGGTGCGACAGCAGGTGTGGCAGCAGGTGTGACAGCAGGTGCTTCGGCAGCCCAAGACGAGGAAACAAATAACACCTGCGGACACGAATGCCGTCTGCGCACCCGACGGCTTGCTGCCTGTCGCCATTCGCCCCAATCATTTGCCCTCACTTCCCACACCTTTCCCTTTCCCACATTTCCCCTGCCATCCCATCCTACCCTCTCTCTCCCCCCATCTGCTTCCTCTTTCACTCACCCTGCTGCGACTTTTTCACCTCTCAGCCATCTCGCCTTTCCCCGCCTCCCCCTCCTCTCTCCTCTTGTTCCTCATCAGGCGTCACTGCAGACGTGGTGGCAGCAGCAGGCACAGCAGCAGCAGCGAGCGCAGCAGCAGCACCTCCTCATTCCCCGTCTCGTCCTCCTCCTCTTTCTACTGCTCTTGTTCCTCACCAGCTGTCATTGCAATCGTGGTGGCAGCAGCAGCTTCAGCAGCAGGGACACCAGCAGCGGCAGGTGCAGCAGCAGCAGGACCTTTCAATACAGGGTGGATTAGGGGTGTGCTTTCAACGCGGGAGCTATGATTGGTGGAGGGAAAGGTGAAATGCATTCAGAGAAGGGATTGGGGAAGCAAAATAGGGAAGGGAGGCACCCGTGTCTCCCCGTGCTCATCTTTCTACTCGTCTCCGACTTGCTCCTGCTCCTCATCCCCCTCCTCTTCCTCCTCTGTCTCCAATTCCCACTCTTCTCTCCCCTCCTCCTCCTCCTCCTCCTCCTCCTCCTCCTCCTCCTCCTCCTCCTCCTCCTCCTCCTCCTCCTCCTCCTCCTCCTCCTCCTCCTCCTCCTCCTCCTCCTCCTCCTCCTCCTCCTCCTCCTCCTCATCCTCCTCGTCCTCTGTGTCTCCTGTCACTTCTCCCTCTTCTCTCTCTTCTCCCCTTCCCACCGCCACAATCACCCTCTGCTTGCTACTTTCCTTCTCCCCCCTTTTCAGCCCCCTAATCCCACCCTCCCTCTCCTCCTCCTCCTCCCCCTCCCCCGCATCATCCCATAGCTTATTCACTGCAGTGCCAAGAGGGACGGCAACAGAGGCTTTCGCAGCGTGCCGCCCAAACATCCCCGAGCCACATCCTCTGCCTCCATGCATGTCCAGCAGTCTAGCAGGGGAAGAGACCCGTGAGCTGGGACGAGGTTGTCGAGTGGGAGAAGAGAGGTGGATGGGAGGAGGCACATGGCTACCTGGATGGGCGGGGGTAGGTAGCGGTGAGGGACGCGCAGGAGGGGGCTTAGTAGTTGGCCGGGCAACAGCAGGCGCAGCAGCAGGCGCAGCAGCAGGCACAACAGCAGGCGCAGCAGCAGGCGCAGCAGCAGGCGCAACAACAGGCGCAACTGGTGCAGCCGTTGTATCTAAAAACGGTGGCTGCCCCCGACACATGCTGTTGACGCACAGAGTCATGTTGTTGCGCTGCTCCCACGTTCCATGTGCCTGCTGGCTCCTGCTGCTCGTGGCGAGAATTCTATCTATCAATTGGCGCATGTAACGGCTGATTGGTGCTGGTGACGATGATGCAGGGAGGGTGGATGCAGGGAGGGTGGATGCAGGGAAGGTGGGTGCATTGGGAGCAGTTGCACTGCCTGGCATCCCTCCTTGCAGCCCTCCTTGCACCTGTGCCACTCCATGCAGAGTGGTCCGCTGGTTTCGAGGTGTGACAGGTGCCACAGACGCAGGTGCCAAAGAGGCAGGTGCCACAGAGGCAGGTGCCACAGAGGCAGGGGGCACAGCAGCAGGGGGCACAGAGGCAGGTGTGGCAGCAGGTGCATGAGCAGGTGCCACAGCAGTTGTGGCAGCAGGTGTTTCAGCAGGTGTTTCGGCAGCCCACTGTGACGAGCCGAACAGCAGCTGCGGATGGGAGCGTCGTCTGTGCACCCTACGGCTTCTTGCCTGGCGCCATTCGCCTTCTACTGCCCTCCCTTCCCATGCCCTCCCTTCCCCTCCTCTCTCTTCCTCTCCTCTCACTTCCTCCATCTGCTTTCTCTTCCGCTCACCCTGCTGCGAATTTTTCATCTCTCCACCACCCCCCCTCGCACCATCCCCTCTCGCACCATCTCGCCTTGCATCACCCTCCCCACCACACACCCTTTCAACATGCCGCCATCTCTGCTGCGCCCCACCGCCTCTCGCGCCACCCTCCCCACCACCTTCACTCTTGAGTCTACTCAAAAGCAGCCCCTGCTGCGCTCCACCACGTCCACTCACACCATCCCCCTCACCACCCCCCCTCCCACCATCTCGCCTCGCACCATCCACCCCACAACCCACCCTCTTACTCTCCTGCAGCCTCTGCTGCGCCCCATCACGTCCACTTGCATCAGCCGCCCCACCACATCCACTTGCATCAGCCGCCCCACCACTTCCACTTGCATCAGCCGCCCCACCACGTCCACTTACATCAGCCGCCCCACCACGTCCACTTGCATCAGCCGCCCCACCACGTCCATTTGCATCAGCCGCCCCACCACGTCCCCTTGCATCAGCCGCCCCATCACATCCACTTGCATCAGCCGCCCCACCACTTCCACTTGCATCAGCTGCCCCACCACGTCCACTCACATCAGGCGCCCCAGCATCCGCCCTCCCATCATTCCATGCACCCTCCCCTGCACCACCCCATCTCTCCCTCTCCTCGCCTCCCCCCTCTTCTGACGAATCTATTTCCATCTCATTCCAAACAGCCTCCTCTACCACCTCCTCCTCTCCATCCTCCTCCTCTTCTTCCTCCTCCTCTCCATCCTCCTCCTCTTCCTCCTCCTCCTCTCCATCCTCCTCCTCTTCCTGACTCTGTTGTTCCTCCTCTGCCTGTTCCTCCTCTTCCTCCTCTTTCACCTCCACTGTCTCCTCCTGTTCCTCCTCCTCGTGTTTCTCACCTGGTACCACTGCGAATCTGGTGGCAGCAGCAGGTGCAGCAGCAGCGGCAGGTGCAGGAGCAGTGGGCGCAGCAGCAGCAGCAGTGGAAGCCCGTTCCATCTCCACCCATTCGGTTGCCTCTACCACCTCCTCCTCCTCGTCTTCTCCCTCACCCTCTGCCGGCCCCTCCTGTTTCTCCATTTTCACCTCCACTTTCCGCGCCTCTTCCTCCTCCTCTTGTTCCTCACCAGGTGTCATTGCAAATGTGGTGGCAGCAGCAGCAGCAGCAGCAGCAGCAGCAGCAGCAGCAGCAGGAGCATCCATGTCAAAATCTCTGATTTCCCTCACAGCAGTTTCGTCGTCTCCCCCCCCTGTGACGTTTCTCCTCCCATTTCCACAAATTCGGTTGCCATTACCGCCTCCTCCTCCTCCTCCTCCTCCTCCTCCTCCTCCTCCTCCTCCTCTTCTCCCTCCTCTCTCTGCGCCTCTTGTTGTATCTCTCTCTGCGCCTCTTGTTGCATCTCTCTCTGCGCCTCTTGTTGCATCTCTCTCTGCGCCTCTTGTTGCACCTCTCTCTGCTCGTCCTGTTGCTCCACTTTCACTTCCACTCTCCCCACCTCTTGCTTCTCACCACGTGAGGTAGCAGCTGCAGAGGTGGCAGCAACAGATGCAGCGGCAGCAGCAGCAGAAGGATCAACAGCAGTGGCAGCAGCAGCACCAGGTGCAGCAGCAGCAGGTGTTGTGGCAGCAGGTGTTGTGGTGGCAGCACCAGGTGTATCGGCAGCACCAGCAACGGGTGCACCAGGTGCAGCAACAGATGCAGCAGCCACAACAGAAGAGAAATCAACAGGAGCGGCAGCAGCACCAGGTGCAGCAACGGATGCAGCAGCCGCAACAGAAGAGAAATCAACAGGAGCGGCAGCAGCAGCAGGTGCAGCAGCAGCAGGAGTATCGGCAACACCAGCAGCGGGTGCACCGGGTGCAGCAGCAGTGGGTGAAGCAGAGGGGGGAGGTGAGGCAGAGGGGGAAGGTGAGGCAGTAGACAGCAGCTGGGCGTCGAGACTTCGATACACCCGGCGGCTTTTCCGCCCGTGCCATTGCCCCCATGCATTTGACCTCCACTCCTCGTCCTCGTCCTTCTCCCCCTCCTCCACCTCCTCCTCCTCTTCTCTCTGATTCCTCTTCCTCACAACCCGCTGCACTGTCCCCTGCTCTCCACCACCCCTCTTCTCACCCTCTGTGTGCACAGCAGCACGCGTGTTACCACGTGTGTCAGCATGTGTGTCAGCACGTGTGTCAGTACGTGTGTCAGTACGTGTGTCAGCATGTGTGTCAGCACGGTTGTCAGCACGGGTGTCAGCACGGGTGTCAGCACGGGTGTCAGCATGTGTGTCAGCACGGGTGTCAGCACATGTGTCAGCACAGGTGTCAGTACGTGTGTCAGTACGTGTGTCAGTACGTGTGTCAGTAGTACGTGCGTCAGCATGTGTGTCAGCAAGTGTGTCAGCACGGGTGTCAGCATGTGTGTCAGCACCGGTGTCTGCACGGGTGTCAGCACGTGTGTCAGCACGGGTGTCAGTATGTGTGTCAGCACGGGTGTCAGAATGAGTTTCACCAGCACCACGGCCAACAACACCAGCACCACTGCCACTACCACTGGCACGTGCATCAGGAGCACCACTCTCAATACTGTCTAGAAGCTGCAACAGAAGCGATGCACGGAGGGCAACAGCAGCAGCAGCAGAAGTAAAGTATCCCTCAGAAGCGGCAGTAGAGATGGCTCCCTTGGCAGCAACTAGGCCACTCCCATGTGCATCCGGAGCACCACTATCAGTGCTGGCTGGTCCAGGAAACGAAGCAGGCATGACAGGAGCAGCAGCAGCAGCAGCAGCAGCAGCAGCAGCAGCAGCGGATTCCTCAGCAGTGGTAGCAGATATTCCCCCAGCAGCAGTGGTAGAGGAAGCCTTCTTGCCAGCAATTGAGTCACCCCCATGCCCCTCACTTGCGCCCAAGTCACCCCCACGCCCCTCACTTGCGCCCAAGTCACCCCCACGCCCCTCACTTGCGCCCAAGTCACCCCCACGCCCCTCACTTGCGCCCAAGTCACCCCCACGCCCCTCACTTGCGCCCAAGTCACCCCCACGCCCCTCACTTGCGCCCAAGTCACCCCCACGCCCCTCACTTGCGCCCAAGTCACCCCCACGCCCCTCACTTGCGCCCAAGTCACCCCCACGCCCCTCACTTGCGCCCAAGTTACCCCCACGCCCCTCACTTGCACCCAAGCCACCCTCTTCCCCCCCACGCCCTTGCATGCCACATCCACTCATGCTAAGCCCACCCGTACTGCACCCGCCCACACCAGAGCCAGCCATAGCAGCCCCGTTCGATTCGTCATCATCTCCCTGGCTCGCACCCCCTGGCTCGCTCCCACCCCTTAGAAGATCTCACCCCACCCTCCCACCTCACCCCAGCACAGCATCCATTCTCACTGCTCCTCATTTCCACTCCCTGCGTTCCCACCATACCAGCATCCATTTCCCCCACCTCTCCTTCCGCCATGTCCCTGTAACCTATCCGGCCTGCAAAACTCCCACCACCCACAGCACAGCCCGTACCAGCATCAGCACCAGTAGCATCAGCACCAGTAGCATCAGCACCAGTAGCATCAGCACCAGTAGCATCAGCACCAGTAGCATCAGCACCAGTAGCATCAGCACCAGTAGCATCAGCAGCAGCAACACTCACAGCGGCAGCAGCAGCTATCCTATAAGTCGCAGTGGCAGCAGCAACAGCACCACGACCATCAGCAGAAGAAGCACCAGCAGTACCAACAGCAGCAGCAGCAGCATCACCACCTGCGCCCACACTAGTAGCAACAGCAGCATCACCAGCACCATCACCTGGACCAAAAGCACCACCACCACAGGTCGCTACAGCACCATCAACCTGACTGATAAGCACCACATCATCATCTCCACCACCATCACCACCGGGACCAAAAGCACCACCACCACAGGTCGCTACAGCACCATGAACGTGACTGATAAGCACCACATCATCATCCCCACCACCATCCCCACCACTATCCCCACCATAACCAAAAGCACCACCACCACCGGCGGTAGCTACAGCCCCATCAACCTGACTGATAAGCACAACATCATCATTCCCCCCACCACCACCACCACCGCCACCGCCACCGACACCCCCACCGCCGCCACAAGCATCAGCAGCAACGCCATTGTCAGCAGGAGCATTCTCTTCACCATAATCACCAGCAGCAGAAGCAGCAGCAGCAGCAGCAGCTGCACCACCCTCAACATCAGACAGCACGGGCCCTTGCCACGAAAACGGTGCGTTCACACGCCAATCCTCCCACCCCCACCCGCTCACCACCACCACATCCTTCCCCACCAGCATCTCTCTCCGCTCTACCCCTCTGAGAGGGTACGGCCGTCCAATACAGTCCAGGTGGTGTTTCAGCAGCACGGGGAGGGGGTGGAGGGGGTTGAATCTCACGCAGAGGGAGGCGATGCGGCAGCGCACCACGGACCAGTCCAGCCTGCTGCCGCAGCCGCCATGCGAGACATACCGAGTCCGAGTGGGGTGGTGTCTGCTGCTACCATTGCTGCTGTTGCCGAGACTGGGGGCGGGCGAGGCTGCTGCTGCTGCAAAAGCTGCTGGTGTTGAGAAACGCAACGGCGCAGGGTTAGAGGCAGGAGAGGCGGGAGGATGTGGCGGGTTGGAAGGGGGCGTAGAGAAGCGGTGGTGGTAGAGCTGCACGTGGAAGGTGCAGCGGCAACAGTGCTTGCTGCGTGAAGCCCTGTGCTTGCAGCGCGTGACTTTGACGACCCGACCGTCGTAGTGTGCCTGGGGAAGAGGATGGGAACACAACGCAGGGAGACTTTAGAGTCGACTCAAAAGTCGCCTGGGGAAGAGGATGGGAACACAACGCAGGGAACGCACAACGACGTGGGTATACCGTATAACTGTGCATCACTACCAACAGCTGTTATTCATTTCAGATCGACATGCTAATCAGCGGCTATGACGTGGAATTGAACAATGCACTGAATGTAAGGCACGTCATATGTTGCGTGCAAAAATGCCATGACATGTGTCGTAAGCGATGAAAAGTGTCATATGCTATGAGGTATTTCATAAGTGTCACTGGTGCACTCATGACTTGGCATACATCATGGTCATAACACCAAGGAAAAGGTTGACCATGTCACATGTCTTGACCATGTCACATGTCTTGACCATGTCACATGTCTTGACCATGTCACATGTCTTGACCATGTCACATGTCTTGACCATGTCACATGTCTTGACCATGTCACATGTCTTGACCATGTCACATGTCTTGACCATGTCACATGTCTTGACCATGTCACATGTCTTGACCATGTCACATGTCTTGACCATGTCACATGTCTTGACCATGTCACATGTCTTGACCATGTCATATGTCTTGACCATGTCATATGTCTTGACCATGTCATATGCCTTGACCATGTCATATGTCTTGACCATGTCATATGTCTTGACCATGCCATATGGTGTCCCTAAAAACTCCAAGCGTCCTTTAAAAACTCGCACAAAACCGCCTCGAGGTCCCTTAAGCGCTGCTCCTTAGTTGCACAGTAGATTTAAAATGTCGTCAAGGTAACGAATCACGCACTTGTCGACCCATGGCATTGGATTACGAAACGGTATGAAGTCACAAATGCCTACCCCCCACTCTTGAACGGATCCACTTCTCACCTTGTCTTTGACCGTGGCATCTCCTGCAGGGTGCTTCACGTATGCGACAACCGCCATTCCTTCTTTCACTCGATGACAGTCGGCCGACTCAAGCGGGCGCGAGTCCAAACGCAGCCTAGCTCCCACCACCATCTCCTCCTCCTCCTCTGGAGATCCCGTATATAGGACGTGGTAGTGCTGCAAGCCCCAATCCGGGTCTTGCTCCTTATGGGACGCTTTCTCGCCTTCCAGTTTGCCCAACACGTTGCACGTCCAAATGCTGCTGCCCTGAAAGCACTCAAAACCTGCTACAGGGGGGAGCACACTAGGCACGCAAGTGACACCAGCTTCGGTGAAGGAAGACCAACAACGAAGGGGACGAGCACAGTGACGTGGAAAGGTAGCAGCAGATTGATGTGGCAGCGTGGAGGAGGAGGAGGAGGAGGAGGAGGATGAGGAGGAGGAGGAGGGACGAACAACGCATAGGAAGGGGTAGCATGGGAACAGACGGTACAGAACCATCAATGCAAGGATACGCACCGGTTCTGTACCGTCTGTTCCACACTAGGAAGCCACCAGATCTGAGCTCCCACCGCATGGTAAACAGCAGAAAAAAAGCCGAGGGAAAGAAAACGCCAAAGCAATTATCCTTACTCGGCCTGCTGTTGGCATTGCGTGGGGTCCGTGAGTCGCGTCGCGTGCGTGAGTTTCGAACCATAGCTGCCACTTTCTGAAGGCCTCCCTTCAAGCGTCCTTGGCGCTCTTGGCGATCTTGGCGATCTTGGCCGCGATCTTCGCGTTCTTGGGGGTCAACTCCTCAGTAGTCAGACACCGCGGACATGCCAGGGAGGGTGAGAAGGTGGATCCACACGCAGTAACTGCAGGCACGGAAAAAGGGTCTTTGTTGCGTCGTCAAACGGGAGAGGTATCGAAGGAAAGCCCCGAGCCTCGTGTTGGCGTACGAAGCATGATTTCCAGGTTGCGCGATGGTACGCGACGTGGTCCCACCACCTGGGGTGGCCCCTTGTCGCCGCGTGTGCGAAAGAACATTTCGCAATCGCGATAGGCTCGTCCCTTTTTGCGAGCAACCTGGGAGGAATCCGATTGATCGCGTTTGTTTCCTGCCAGATCAGAGCAGTGGTAACAGCACTGCTCTGCTGGCGCGCTGCTCTGCATGGTGGAGTGTCGGGGGGCGACGTCTGCCAGGTGGACTGAGATTCCCACGCAAGGAAGAGTACCGGTAGTTCCCTCGGGTTTGCTCGCTGGGACAGAAGCAAGGTGACTGATTATTGAGTCGACTCAGAAGTCAGCTCGTGGACGAGATTGCCATGCATTGAAGAGACGTTCCTCGGGATTGCTCGCTGGGACAGAAGCAAATTCATCAGGGAGCCGTTCCCTAGGGGTGGTGTGGTGTTCCTATGTTCCTAGGCATGTTCGCAAGGGTTGGGAGTTTATAGTTCCATTACTAGTCTTTCGAACTTTGCAATTCAGAGGCATATTGGCGAAATGGACGATAAGTGACCAGATCGGTAATAAATCCCGGGAAGGCGGTGAGTGGGACGAAACGAAATACACGACCTGTAACCCGAACGACCGTAAGGCGGGGAGTGACGCGAAGAAAATTTGACGACTTGTAACCCGGGAGTTTTGAAACATTTCATTGCCGAACCCGCCCCAGCTCAGTTTGCATAGTAGAGCGCATTGAGTGCGCCTTCGCCCTTGTTTCCCAAGGGAGCTCAGCCGCCGAGGACTCAGGCGCCATAGGCCTTGCGCTGCTGACGCAATGCCTCAAGCCTTGCCGCTTTGCTGGTCACTCCTGTGTGCTTGTACTTGGCTGGCGCCTTCCCCGCCGCCTCAACCATAGTACAGTAGGACGACGTTGTACTATAGTTGCTGTACTAGTGTTTTCGTCATTCAGTGTAGAACGACGCTGCCGGTTTTAGGCGCATGATGGATTCGCCGCTCTAGTTTGGCATCGGACGGTCCGGATTGGATTTCACGCATCATCGTCATGAGTCTCGGCAGATGGACGGCGAGATATGTGAGTTCCGTAAACTCCACGCGCGCGAATTTCTTCCATTACAATGCGCAACAACGCGACTCGTGTTAGAATGAAGCCGCTCCGCTGGGCAGCATGGCGGACGTTTGAACTGATAACAGCAGCTGCGACTCGGACACGTGCTGGCTTCGCCGTGTGGCGTTATCGTGCACGGTGGCCAGCCGCGCAGGAGTCCGAGCGCGCTGCCAGCGCACGCTGCTTAGCCGCTATCCAGTGCAGCACTGGCAGCAGCTGCTGGGACTTGGTAGTCCTGTCGCCGCCGCAGCGTGTCTAGCCGAGCGCGCATTCGAGCGCGCTGCCAGTGCACGCTGTTCACCCGATCATCCTCACTTCCCTCTTCCCCACGGACCGTCTGGTAGATTGTCCTTTTCCCCTCAATCCCCCCTTCCCCTTCCCCTCTCCCGTTTCCCCCCGCCTCCCCAACCCCCTCCCGCCCACAACCCTCCTTCCCCCCCCCACCCTCAACCCAGGAGGACAGCAACGTGCGCATGCGCAGGAAGCGGGGGACAGCTGGCGGGCCCTCATTGGGCATTCGCGTGGGCGCCGGGTCGGCAGCAACCGCCGGCCTGCTTGGCGTTTCTGGGGGAGGCGGTATCTACGGCAGTGTTGGCAGTGGAGCAGAGAGAGGAAGGGGAGGAGGAGGAGGAGGAGGAATGGGAGGAGTGGGAGGGGCGGCAGGTGTGGGAGTGGGAGTGATGAAGCTGGTACAGGAGCATTATCTTAGAGAGGATATCAAGTGCGGGTCTGCGCTGTGCCACGTGTGTTACAGCCACCTGGCGACCATCGACCCCGCCAACCTGCTCTGGCAACTACCTCCAGAGGACTTCCTCTTTCGAGACGAGCTAGAGCGACCCTCCCTGTCTTCTGGTGCCCCGCACTACGTGGTGAGTGCGACACTTACAGTCGCCTGGCGGCCATCCACCCCGCCAACCTGCTCTGGCAAAACTCCCTCCAAAGGACTTTTTGTTTCGCGAAGAGTTAGAGCGGTCTTCCCTGTCTGCTGGTGCGGTGCCCCGCACGCACTACATGGTGAGTGGTGCAGTTACAGTTACAGTCACGTGCAGGCCTTGCTTGCACCCTGTCAACCTGTTCTGGCAACTCCCCCCAGAGGACTTCCTGTTTCGAGACGAGCTTGAGCGACCCTCCCTGTGTGCAGGCGCCAGGCACTACGTGGTGAGTGAATGACCGCGATTTCTGGCGCTGCCTTTCTCCTTGCCTACATGGACCCCCATCGAGGTGTGCGAGCTGCCACGCTGTATCATTCTCTCTCTGCTGCTCTCCATCCTCCCTTCTCACCCTTGCCCCCCTCATTCCCTTGCACCCCTCATTCCCGTCCCACCCTCCCGTCCCACCCTCGCTTCCCACCCTCGCTCGTCACACCCTCGCTTCCCACCCTCCCTTCCGTTGCCGCCTGCCGTCCCTCTCTCGCTGCAGATCCCCGACGCCACCTCCCTGATGGACTTCATCGAGGTGTGGGAGCTGCCGGGCGTGCGCCACGTGCTGCTGCTGGGCTCCGTGCTCAAGGAGGTGCGTGGATTATGGATTGTGGATTATGGATTGTGGATTATGGATTGTGGATTGTGGTGTGGTGTGACGGTTGAGTCGTTTTGAAAGGGGGAGGAGTGAGCAACAGACCTGCGCCATGTGCTGCTGCCGGCCTCTGTTCTCAAGGAGGTGGGTGCGTGCTGGTGATTATTTTGGTTGGTTTTCCACTGGCCAGGTAGTGAAAGCGACTGGTGTATGTGGGGTTTCATTTAATAGCAACAACATGGAGCGGATGTAGAGTGCGGCTCAAACAGCAACGCGTGTCACTGTGTCACACCATGGGAAGAAGAACCCCAATTTTTTAAAGGGCTCTTTCTACTCCTTTCTCCCTCCCCGCTCCTCTTCTCCCCCTCACCCATCCTCCTCTCCTCGCCCTGCAGGTGCTGCATTTCTCCAGCGCCCACCACACCAACTGCATTCGGTGCGTTCCACCACTGCCACGCTTCTCCTCTGCTGTACAGTACCCTTCCCTTCCCATATACCTCTGTATCTCACACACCGGTATATGCCGGTAGCTGCTGTATGTCCTGTAATGAGAAGTTCTGTACGCTTGTCATCATGTCCTGAATCAACGTCTCCCTGTCACCCGCTCCTCGCCCTGTCAACCCCATCCCATCATTGCGGCCCAGCAAGTCTGCAATGCAGTCGGTTCTTGATTCTCCTGCGCCTCCTCTCACTTGCAACTCCTTGTCTCAAGTGGTCTTTTGTTACTCTGTCTGCCGTGCCGTGTTCAAGTGCCGTGTGCGAGGATGGGAGGTGGGAGAGCTCGTTTCCGTCATCTGGAGGGAGAGCTCCTTCTTTGATGACCGCCACTTCCTCTTCACGCACCTGATGTTGCCTTGAAGCAGCCTTGACGCATCGGTGCCTTCCCCCCCCCTTCGTCCCCTCCCCATTTCAGTGCCCTGTGTGAAGATGGGAGGAGGGAGAGCTCCTTCTTTGACGACCGCCAGTTGCTCTTCACCACCTCATGGCAGCTGTGGCTTAGGCAGCCTTGAAGCATCTGTGCCATGCCTTCCCTTCACTCGCCCCCTCCCCGTTCCAGCGCATTATGTGAGGACGGCAGGAGGGAGAGCTCCTACTTAGACGACCGGCACTTGCTCTTCACCACCTCATGGCGCCTCGAAGCAGCCTTTGATGCATCTGTGCCTTGCGCTCCCCCCCCTCGCCCCCTCCCCATTCCAGTGCGCTATGTGAGGACGGCAGGCGGGAGAGCTCCTTCTTTGACGACCGGCACTTCCTCTTCACGCATTTGATGGCGGAGGAGAGGCGGGCGAGCCTCAGGATGACACTTGGAGATGCTGCTTCTGCTGAAGGTGTGTGGGTGGGTGTGTGCATGTATGTGCGTGTGAGAGAGGGGGATCACCACTTCCTCTTCGTGCATTTGATGGCGGAGGAGAGGCGGGCGAGTCTGCTTTTGAGTCGACTCAAAAGTGGAGGAGAGGCGGGCGAGTCTGAGGAAGACACTGGGCAATGCTGCTTCTGCTGAAGGTGGGTGGGTGGGTGGGTGGGTGTGTGTGAGTGAGTGGAGATGGGGGGGATTGGGTGAATGGTGAGTGAGAGGGGAGAGGTTGGCACTTCCTCCTCATGCATTTGATGGCGGAGGAGAGACAGGCGAGTCCGAGGAAGATGCTGGGCGACGCTGCTTCTGCTGAAGGTGTGTGGTTGGGTGTGTGTCTGTGGCTTCGTGTGCGTGCGTGCGTGCGCGCGCGCGCGCGTGCGTGTGTGCGTGCGTGCGTGTGAGTGTGTGTGTGTGTGAGTGCGCATGCATTGGTGGTGTCCATGATCGTGCACACACATACAAGCGCACCTCTTTCCGCATCTCACGCGTGAGAAGCCTAGTTTTGAGGCGCTTCCAAAATAGCGCTCCTCTCTCCACATCTCACCTTCTCACTGCAAGTAGACACGCCATTTTCCCTTAACCCGCCCCTTCAACGAACCCTCTCCCCTTTCCTCCGCCCCTCCCCTCCTGCACCCAGTGGAGCTGTGCCATGTGGTGGCAGCAGCGCAGTGGTTCTCAACCCATCTGCACCGCACTATACCCGTTGTCATCGTGTCTGATGAGCTGGCAGCGGCACGTGGCAGCATGCCATTGGGCGAGGTGTTGCAGGCGGTGCAGCGGAAAGAAGTGGTGGTATGTGATGATAGTGAAGTCAGCATGTCATAGTATGTAATAGCAGGATTAGTTCTGATATATGCAGTACATGGTATTATATATATATGTATATATATATATATATATATATGTGGTATGTGGTAGGATCAGTTTTGATATCTCCTGCGCATGTGATACTTAGTGGTAAGCAATATCGTTACCAAAGTACTGGTATGTCCTAGTGCTTTCTTCCCCCCCCTCCCCAAACCCACACACACGCCGCGCAATCCGCCCTTTCTCCCAGGTGATGAATGCCAGCAGAGACGTTCTTCCAGACCTACTATGGCCACTGCACCGCTGTCACCACACTCATGCTCCATGCCTCTCTGGACCTGCTCTGCTGCTCCCCCCCCATTGGCCCCCATCTGCCCCCCAGGTGATGAATGCCATCAGAGGCGTTCTTCCACACCTCCTGCGGCCACTGCACTGCTGTTGCCACACTCATGCCTCCATGCCTCCCTGTACCGTGCTGCTTCCTCCCCATTCCCCCCCCTGCCCCCCAGGTGATGTCAACAGAGGCGTTCTTCCAGACCTACTATGGCCACTGCACCGCCGTTACCACTCTTATGGACTCCCTGGTACGAGCATGTCCTTTTGTGGTAACCACATGGTACTTCTTATGCGCTTACTGCACCGCCGTTACCACTCTTATGCACTTACTAGTGAAGCACATCTCCCTTCTGGTAACCACATCTGTTACCACACTCATGGAATCCCTGGTACAATCATGTTTTTTTCTGGTATCCACGTGTTACTTCTTAGAGAAACTGCATTGCTAGTACCACACTACTCCGGGCCTCCCTAGTAAGAGGATGTCACAGCTCGTCTAACCGCTGTCACAGCTCGTCTAACCGCATGTCACAGCTCGTCTAACCGCTGTCACAGCTCGTCTAACCGCTGTCACAGCTCGTCTGCCGCATGTCACGACTCGTCTAACTGCATGTCACAACTCGTCTACCCGCTGTCACAGCTCGTCTAACCGCATGTCACAACTCGTCTAACCGCATGTCACAGCTCGTCTAACCGCATGTTACTTGAAAAGAAACATATGTGCACTATCACAAATATGCGCTGCTGCTATCACAAATATGCGCGGCTGCTATCACAAATATGCGCGGCTGCTATCACAAATATGCGCTGCTGCTATCACAAATATGTGCGGCTGCTATCACAAATATGCGCTGCTGCTATCACAAATATGCGCTGCTGCTATCACAAATATGCGCTGCTGCTATCACAAATATGCGCTGCTGCTATCACAAATATGCGCTGCTGCTATCACAAATATGCGCTGCTGCTATCACAAATATGCGCTGCTGCTATCACAAATATGCGCTGCTGCTATCACAAATATGCACTGCTGCTATCACAAATATGCGCTGCTGCTATCACAAATATGCGCTGCTGCTATCACAAATATGCGCTGCTGCTATCACAAATATGCACTGCTGCTATCACAAATATGCGCGGCTGCTATCACACTCATGGATGGACCCTTCCAAATCTCATCACTTGCCCAGCCCACCGTCCTACCCTCCCTCCTTACCTCATCCCACCATCCTACCGACCTTACCTCACAACCCCAGCAGGCTACAGTGGAGTCATTTTTAGAATTCTAAAAAATGCCAGCATGCCTTGCGCCTCTCCTCGTCCTTCGCCCTTTCAGAACTCAACACGTATCCACCCGGTACCCTCTCCCCTTACCTCACAACCCCATCAGGCCACCCCATCTGCGTGGCTTGCGCCTCTCCTCGTCCTTCACCCTCCCAAATCTCTACACACGGGCCCACCATCTCACCCTCCCTCCTTACCTCACAACCCCACCAGGCCACCCAGCACGCCTTGCGCCTCTCCTCATGCTCCAAATCTATGTCCGGAGCCGAGCGACGTTCGGCAGTGGCAGGTCAGTGTGTGCCCCACCATCCTACCCGCCCTCCTTCCCCGCCCACACCAGGCCACCCAGCACGCCTTGCGCCTCTCCTCGTCCTTCAGGTCCACGTCCGGTGGCGGCAGGCTCGGCAGCAGCAGGCTCGGCAGTGGGAAGCAGCGCAAGGAGGTTTTTCCACCGCACCTGTCGAGTGAGAGCTGGGCTGTGAGAGGGGGAAAAGGGGAGGGTTGTTTGTGATGATGGCTATGGGAGGGGTAATGGCAGGGGCAGTAGTAGTGGCCGAGGGAGGGGCGATGGGAGGCTTGGCGGTGGGAAGCAGCGCGAGGAGGTGGTCCCACCGCACCTGTCCAGCGATTTCTGGGATCTGACGTGAAGGGGAGGGGGGGGGGTTGTGGTGGCAGAGGGAGCAGCAGCAGCAGGTTTGGCAGTGGGAAGCAGCGCAAGGAGGTGGTCCCACCGCACTTGTCAAGTGAGTGCTGGGCTCTGATGCAGCGTGGGAGAGGGGGAGTGAGTGGTGGTGGCAGGAGAGGGAACTTACGTTTCTAACACATGCCGCACATATTCTCTAACACATGCCACACATATTCTCTAACACATGCCACACATATTCTCTAACACAAACACCACATGTACGACCGCACCTGTCAAGTGAGTGATGGGATCTGACGTGGCAGAGGGAGTGGTAGTGGCAGAGGGAGTGGTAGTGGCAGAGGGAGTGGTAGTGGCAGAGGGAGTGGAGGGAGTGGTAGTGGCAGAGGGAGTGGTAGTGGCAGAGGGAGTGGTAGTGGCAGAGGGAGTGGTAGTGGCAGAGGGAGTGGTAGTGGCAGAGGGAGTGGTAGTGGCAGAGGGAGTGGTAGTGGCAGAGGGAGTGGTAGTGGCTGATGGAGGGGTGATGGCAAGCCGTGATAGTGAAATGAAAGTGGCAAAAGAAAGCTTTTCTAAGCTCTGAGAGATTCCATGGCTTTGTGTCTTCGTATCTTGTGCCTTGTTCCTTATCTATCTGTACGATCACCGACTTTCACGGTAATGGCAGAGAGGGAGTGGCAGTGGCCCAGTGGGTGCTATCCCTATCCGCGTGGCGTGGGTGTGCTGCACATCACCATCAGCAGCGAGGTCCATTTTTGAGTCGACTCAAAAGCAGTCCCTATCCGCGTGGGTGTGCTGCACAGCAGCGAGGTCCATTTCCTCACCTCACAGTCCATGCCTTCTCACGCCATACATGACCACCTTCCCACGGGCCACACCCCATCCTCCATACTCCAGGCACGGCAGTGGCAGAGGGAGTGGCGGTGGGTGCTATCCGCGTGGGTGTGCTGCACATAACTACCAGCGAGCCATTCAAAGCCACTGTCAGGCACAGGTGAGGGGAGAGTGCTGTTTGCTACTGTTGACTGGCGTTGATGGTGTTGACCTGAGTTGACTGTGAGTTGACCTGAGGGAGCAGCAGTGGGTACTATCCGCGTGGTTGTGCTGCATGCACGTCACTACCAGCGAGCCATTCAAGGCCAGTGTCAGACGCAGGTAAGGAGCGATTGCTCTTGACTGCTGTTGACCTGAGTTGACTGTTGTCACTTAATTAATATTTCCGTGGTCCCCTTTAGAGCCTCTGCGATGCTCCTCAGTTTGCCGTTTTCCCCATACCCCCTCCTCCTCTCTCCAGCCACAAGCACGTGCGCACTCGCCTCACAGCGACATCACCATACCTCACCATACCTCACCGTACCTCACCATACCTCACCATACCTCACCATACCTCACCATACCTCACCATACCTCACCATACCTCACCATACCTCACCATATCTCACCATACCTCACCATACCTCACCATACCTCACCATACCTTAGTAACATGGCGCCAGCTCAACCGGGACCGGCAGCATACTTATGCCCACTCTCCCGTTGTCTCCCTTTTCTCCCATTGCTCCTCTTTCAACAGTCGTAAGCAGGTGCACTCCTCCCCTTATAGCAACATCAGTATCGTCTCATGTCACCAGCTGAACCGAGCCCTGCCCAGCAGCCTTACCCTTCTTCACTTCTCCCCTCTCCCGCCTCTCCCCTCCCTACACTTATTTCCAGCTGCAATCAGATGCACTCCCCCCTACAGCGACATCACCAAAGTCTCATGGCGCCACCAGCTCAACAGGGCTCTGCCTGGCAGCCTTACCCTTGCCCATTTGTCCCTTCCCCCCTACCCCTACCCTCTGCCCCCTGCCTATGTTTCAGTCGCAAGCAGGTGCACTGCCCTTACAGTTACAGCGACTTCACCATAGTCTCATGGCGCCACCAGCTCAACAGGGTTCAGCCTGGCAGCTGTACCCTTGCCCATTCACACCCCCCCACCACATCTCCTCCCCTCCCTCTTTCTTCTCCCAGCCGCAAGCAGGTGCACTCCCCTTACAGCGACATCACCATAGCCACACGGCGTCAGCTCAACCAGGCCCTGCCTGCCCAGCACCTTTACCTTTGTGCACTTTCCCCGTATCCCCTCCTTTCATCCCCCCTCTCCCCTTCTTCACCATTTCCAGCCGCAAGCAGGTGCACTCCCCTTACAGCGACATCACCATAGTCTCGTGGCGCCAGCTCAACAGGGCCCTGCCTGGCGACACTGTAGCAGTGAGGCTGCTGGGGAAGCGCAGGGTGGGGGGAGGACAGATGGGGAATGGGGGCCAGGGGAGGGGGAAGAGACAGGGGGATGGAGGGATAGTGGGAAAGAGGACGAATGGACAAAGGGAGGAGGAGAGGGTGTGGTGGGAGTGCGGAGGTTTGATGGTGGGTTTAGTGAGGGGATGGCTGGGGCTGCTGGTGCTGATGGGGACGGTTGGAGTGCTGCTGGTGTCGCTGGTGGTGGTGGTGATGGCGCTACTTCCAGCGCCTCTGCACCTGAATCGTACCCACCACCACCCGCCCCTACTGGCTGGTACCAGGCCCCCGCTGCCGCTAATGAGGCTCCCCCTGCCCCTGCACCTACAGGCTGGGGGGACTCCACTGCTCCCCCTACAGGCTGGGGGGAATCCCCCCCTCCCCCTCCGCCCACAGGCTGGGGGGAAACTCCTGCCCCTCCTCCTCCTGCGCGCTGGGGGGAAGTTCCCCCTGTTGCTGCTGCCTCAGGGTGGGAGGAAGGTCCCCTGCTGCTGCTGCGTCAGGATGGGGGGAACCTGCCCCCCCTCCTTCCCAAAGCGCATGGGATGGCGGGTGGAGGGATGCAGGGAGGAGAGAGGGCGCGGAGGAGGTTGACTGGCGGGGCACGCATGACACAGCGGGGGGGGATGGGCAGAGGCGTGGCGAGTGGGATGAGCAGAGGCGTGGCGAGTGGGATGGGGGGGATGGTGAAGAGGAAGGGGGCGAGGCGAGGCAGGAGAGCTGGCACAGAACGAGACCGGTTGAGAGGGGTGGGAATGGTCATGGGTACGGTAATGGTGGGTATGGAGCTGGGTACGGGGAGAGGGGTGTGGGCGGGGGGAGAGAGGGCGATGGGGAGGGGGAGTATGAGATGGTGGGGGAGGTGGTATCTGTGGTGCATAGGGTGAGCCGGGACTTTGTAGTGTGCCTGAAGGATCATGTGGATGAGGTGGAGGGGGCGGGTGAGCCGGGGGAGGGGAGGGGGATGTTGTGGTGGGAGGAAGAGGAAGAGGAGGAGGAGGAAGAAGAGGAGAGTGAGGTTGAGGAAGAGGAAGAGAGTGAGGAGGAGGAGGAGGAGGAGGAGGAGGAGGAGGAGGAGGAGGAGGAGGAGGAGGAGGAGGAGGAGGAAGAAGAAGAGGAGGAAGAGGAGGAGGAGGAGGAGGGAGAGGAGGAAGAGGAGGAGAATGTAGGGGGGGAGGACGATGAAAAGGACGCCAGGCAGGCAGAGGAGCAGCACGGGCACAGTGTGCTGTCGCCCACACATGAGCAACATCCCGTTGAGACTGGGCCCGCAGCAGGTGCAGCAGGTGCAGCGGTGCGAGCTGTTAGAAGCTCCAGCTCTGCCACGGGCAGCGATGCTGCTGACACCACTCCGTACAGCAGCGTGAGAGGCGGCAGCATGGGAGCAGGGAGCAGGGAAAACAGCATGAGAGGGAGCAGCAGTATGAGAGGGGCCAGCAGCGTGCGAGCGAGCAGTGTGAGGGCCAGCAGCACGAGAGCCAGCTCCCGCAGCCGGCTGTCCCGAGCTTCGTCCTCCAAGTGAGTGCATCCGCCTTTAAGTGAGTAGCTCCCCAAACTCCGTCAATTGCTGCTCTCTTGCCTCTCTGCATCCGCTGACCCCACTGCTGCCACTGCTGCCACTGCTGCCACTGCTGCCACTGCTGCCACTGCTGCCACTGCTGCCACTGCTGCCACTGCTGCCACTGCTGCCACTGCTGCCACTGCTGCCACTGCTGCCACTGCTGCCACTGCTGCCACTGCTGCCACTGCTGCCACTGCTGCCACTGCTGCCACTGCTGCCACTGCTGCCACTGCTGCCACTGTTGCCACTGCTGCCAATGCTGCCACTGCTGCCACTGCTGCCACTGCTGCCAATGCTGCCACTGCTGCCACTGCTGCCAATGCTACCACTGCTGCCACTGCTGCCACTGCTGCCGCCGCTCCTTCCAATGCTGCTGGTCACGAATCCTTGCCAACAAAGTTCCACTGTCCACTCCTCCATTCTCTTTTGTTCTTGCTCGTTTTGCCCCTGGCAGGGCGAAGATGGGGTTCCTCTGCGTGCCCATGGACGCACGCCTGCCTCTGGTGAGCGCTGCCTCGTGTGGGTGGCATGTGGGTGGCACGTGGGTGGCACGTGGGTGGCACGTGGGTGGCATGTGGGTGGCATGTGGGTGGCATGTGGTTGTCATGTGGGTGTCATGCGGGTGGCATGTGGGTGTCATGTGGGTGGCATGTGGGTGTCATGTGGGTGGCATGTGGGTGGCATGTGGGTGTCATGTGGGTGGCATGTGGGTGGCATGTGGTTGTGATGTGGGTGTTATGTGGGTGGCATGTGGGTGTCATGTGGGTGGCATGTGGGTGTCATGTGGGTGTCATGTGGGTGGCATGTGGGTGTCCTGTGGGTGGCATGTGGGTGTCATGTGGGTGTCATGTGGGTGGCATGTGGGTGGCATGTGGGTGGCATGTGGGTGGCATGTGGGTGGCATGTGGGTGGCATGCGGGTGGCATGCGGGTGGCATGCAGGTGGCATGCGGGTGGCATGCGGGTGGCATGCGGGTGGCATGCGGGTGGTATGCGGGTAGCATGCGGGTGGCATGCGGGTGGCATGCGGGTGCGGGGTGGCATGCGGGTGGCATGCGGGTGGCATGTGGGTGGCATGCGGGTGGCATGTGGGTGGCATGTGGGTGGCATGTGGGTGGCATGTGGTGGTTGGCACGTGGGTGGCACGTGGGTGGCATGTGGGTGGCATGTGGGTGGCATGTGGGTGGCATGTGAGTGTGTGTCATGCCATATCGATGGGTGCCATATGTCAGGCGCAGCTCACCACCTTCACCAGCCATGAGCCCCTCCTCCACCTGTTCCCCCAACCCTTTCCGTTCACAGCCACACCTCACTTGCCACTCGTCCCCTCCCCTCTCCCTGTTTCTGCCTGTCTCGCTCCCTCGTTCTCCCTCGCTTTAACCAACCCTCCAGATTCTCGGTATCTCAGGCCGACTGCCTTCGTGCCTGCCAGCCAGCCGCTGCCCACTGTGCTCCCCTTGTCTCCCTCCCTCCCCCCTTCTTCCTCCCTCGTTCGCCCTCCTCTCACCCCCCCACCCCGCACCCCCCCACAGATGTTCCTGCGCACATCTCAGGCCGACCGCCTTCGTGCCAGCCGCTTCGTTGTGAGGATGGCAGGTGAGACTTAGGGCTACACGCATACTTCTGCTTTGGCAGCTTGGAGTGCACATTAGATATACCATGGCATCGCTCCCTCCCTACTTCACCATCGCTCTCCTTTTCCCCTCCCATCTCTCGCTCCTTCCGTCTCTCCTGCCACCACCCTCCATTCCCCCTCCCCCTTTCCCCCTCTCTCGTTTTCGCCTCCCCTCCCACCCCCCCTTAGCCTGGGACTGCTATCCCCGCCATCCGGGCGTGTGCCTGATGAGGACGCTCTATATGTCTTCACTTGGACGGCCTACTCATCTTGCGCCCTCCCCCTTCCTCTCCTCTCCCCTCCGCTTTCCCACTTCCCCCCAGCCTGGGACCGCTATTCCCGCCACCCTGACGTGTACCTGGTGAGGACGCTAGGGCCAATGGGAGCCCTCCACGTGGAGCAGGCAGTGCTGCTGGATGACATGGGGCTCGCCTTCCCGGCTTTTGGCGACGGGTGGGTGCATGGGGTGCATGGGGGTGCATGGGGGTGCATGGGGGTGCATGGGGGTGCGTGTGTGTGTGTGTGTGTTTCATACTTTGCTCCCCTCTTTCTCATCTCTTTATGCGTTCAAGTTTTCCAGACCACCGTTCTCCCCGTTGCCGCCTCTCCATTCTCACTAGCCTTGCTCTGTCGCCCACTGGCCTGATTTCTTGCCTCCCACGCTCACTCCGCCCGTTCTCCCCCACCAGAGCCCTGCGGGAGATCCCCCAGCCAGCGTCTGCTGCAGCAGCGGCGGCATAGGAGTCTACTTTTGAGGCGCCTCAAATCTACGCTCACTCCGCCCATTCTCCCCTACCAGGGCCCTGCGGGAGATCCCCCAGCCAGCGTCTGTGGCAGCAGCAGGGGCTGAAGCAGAGGGCAGGGGGAGTGGCGGGTGCCAGAGGAGGAGATAGCGAGAAGGAGGGACCTGAGGGACGGTGCTCATTTCATGTGCAGGTGGGTGGGCGACTGGATGTGTGACTGGATGGGTCACTGGAGGGCAGGGAGGAGTGGAGGGTGCCTGAGGAGGAGATAGCGAGAAGGAGAGACCTGAGGGACGGCGCTCACCTCATGTGCAGGTGGGTGGGCGACTGGACGTGCTGTGGATGTTTGTATCTCTCTTGCTGTGCTTGCGCCAGTGGTTGAAGCAGAGGGCAGTGAGGAGAGGACGGCGCCTGAGGAGAAGAAGGGACCTGAGGGATGGCGCTCACTTCATGTGCAGGTGAGTGGGCGACTGGACGTGCAAGGGAAGGGCTGTGTCTCTCATGTGCACCGGAGGGACCTGTGCTCACTTCACGTGCTGGTGAGGCGCTCTCCATCCCTCTCCCACTACCTCTCCTGCTCCCTCTCTGTCCCTCTCTCACTCACCCTCTCTGCCTGCCTCTTCCCCTCCCCCCCATTTCCCCACCTCACCCGCGCTGCATCGACCCGCCTAGCAGCACGGATGTGGATAACGTGGCGTGCTCTCCCTTTTTCATCCCGCACTCTCTCTCGTATTCTACCTCTCTCTCCTTCTCCCCCTTCCCTCCCCTTCCCTCTCCCACAGCATCGACCCCCTGGCAGCACGGACGGGGATGACCTGCACAGCCCTTCCCACTTCCTCTCTTCCTGCACCTCTGTCTGTCTCTCTTCCCCTCTCCCTCCTTCCCGCCTCCCTGTTGCAGCATCGACCCCCCTGGCAGCCGGGACGTGGATGACGTGCTCTCCACAGCTCACCTCCCAAACGGCCTAATCCAGGTGGGTAATCTGAGTGGGTGCTCGAGTGCACCTCCATCCAGACGCGGTCTTGAGTTGATTCAACAGTCACTTTACAGACTCAGAAGGCACCTCCCCCCCAACAGCATAATCCAGGTGGGTAACCCGAGTGGGTGCTCAAGTGTTCCTCCAGATGCGCTCCTGCAGTTTCGTTGCTCCACCTGTTGAAGCTCCAGTGTGTCTGCCTCAAAGCAGGTGAGCAGGTGAGCAGGTGAGCAGGTGAGCAGGTGAGCAGGTGAGCAGGTGAGCAGGTGAGCAGGTGAGCAGGTCAGCAGGTCAGCAGGTCAGCAGGTCAGTGGGTCAGTGGGTCTCACTTGCTTTGCTGTTACCAACCCGTGCAGCTCACGCGTCTCCTCACATGCACGAGGCCGCTGGGGTCACGGCATGGCGTGGCATTGATCGTATCACAGTGCGTGTTGCTGTGTTGCGCAGTTGCTGTATTGTAGTATACAGGTGATATAGCAACAGCATAGTGCGTGCTGCTGACATGCCCTTCTCTGTGATTGCCAGGTGGGTGTGCACATTGCGGACGTGGCATATTTCGTGCGGCCGGGCAGTCTGCTGGACGCGGAGGCAAAGGCGAGAGGCACGTCGGTGTATTTGGCAAACCAGAGGAGCAACATGCTGCCAGAGGCACTCAGGTGAGATCACTGGTGTGTTGCGTGAGGGCCATAATGTGTTGTGGCGAGGGGGCATGGTGATTAGTAGTACCATGATGGTAGGAGCCACCCTTCGCTTCGCCTACCCACATGTCATCTTTGTTGCTCTGATAGTCCCACCGAACACTCCTATCCACCGAGCTGGCTTTTGAGTCGACTCAAAAGTCATACTCCCACCTGACACTCCTATCCACCGCATGCCCTCCTCCACTGGGTTTCCTCCCCTCCCTCGTACCCCCCACAACTCTTTCTTACCACTGAGGGTCTCTGCTCGGCTGCGCACACCTGGCAGTGAGTGTCATGTGGACCCCTCAACTTGACCCTTCATCTCCACCCTTGCCCTCTTCGCTGGCCTTCCTCTTCCCCTCTCCCCCCTTTATCCCCACCTGGATTCACACCAGTGAGGGTCTCTGCTCCTAAAGGCGGCCACACGCTCTTGCCAGTGAATGTCATATGGAGTCTACTAGGCGCCTCAAAAATAGATGCCTCACGCCTGGCAGTGAATGTTATCTCTGGACCATGGACCCCTTGAACCAATTTACACTCGTGCTCCCTTGTTTCCCTTTGCGCCCCATTTAACTTGCAGCGAGGGCCTGTGCTCGCTGCTGGGCGGCCGCACGCGCCTGGCAGTGAGTGTCATCTGGACGCTCGACCCCTCCAACCGATTCGCGCTTGTGGGACCGCCTTGGTTCGGCCGAACGGTCATCAAGTCGAACCATCAGGTGAAACATTGCATCTATCCATCAGGTGAATCATTGCATCTATCCATCCGGTGAATCATTGCATCTATCCATTAGGTCGATCAATACTATTGCTCTGACCCAAACGCTCCTCCTCCTCCTCCCCATGCCTCACACTTATCATCTCTCCTCTCTTTTCCCCCTCGGTTTTCTACACCATTTCTTCACCTTATCGCTATGTCATTGCCGCCCCTACTCACAGTGCTCCTATGCGCAAGCGCAAGCCATAGCAGACGGCGCGCAACGGCAGCCAGAGGAGCAGCAGCAGCCTGGGGGGCAGAGGGCACTGCGGCTGGCTCGCAGTGTTCCCTCCTTGCTCCGCACTCCCTCGTCCACACACCCCACTCCCTCGTCCACACACCCCACTCCCCCCCCTCTCCTCACACAGCTCTCCTATGCTTGAGGCGCCTCAAAAATAGACTCCTCCCCCAACTCCCCCCCCCCTCCACACACAGCTCTCCTACGCGCAAGCGCAGGCCATAGCAGACGGCGTGCATCCGCTGCCCGAGGAGTATCAGCTGCCGGGGGGGCAGAGGGAACTGGCCCGAGCCAAGACGTGCATCGCCACGCTCACTGCCTTTGCGCGGGTCAGTGCTGAGCTGCTGGGGCTCATTATCTAGGCTGTCTCTGCTGTTGGTTGATTGGCGGGGTTGGGTTCCACTGGCTTTGAGAACGGAGTTCAAGGTCCAGCTGCTGGGGGGGCAACGGGAGGTGGCCCAAGCCAAGACGTGCATCGCCACGCTCACTGCCTTTGCACGGGGCAGTGTTCAGTTCCAAGTGGTTCGAGCCAGCTTTCATTCCAAGTGACTTGCAACAGACCACTGTGGCTGAAGATATTTGAGGCGCCTCAAAAACACTGCCAGACAGATGGTAGGGGCGCTGGAGCCAGCACATGCGGAACTGCAGCTAGTATGCCTTTTCCCTTCCCCCTTCCCCCTTTCCTCTTCCCCCTTCCCCCTTTCCCCTTTCCCCTTCCCCCTTTCCCCTTCACCCTTCCCCCTTCCCCCTTCCCCCTTTCCCCTTCCCCCTTCCCCCTTTCCCCTTCCCCCTTCCCCCTTTCCCCTTCCCCCTTCCCCCTTCCCCCTTTCCCCTTCCCCCTTTCCCCTTCCCCCCTCGCCCTTCATCCCCCTGTTCCTCCTCGTTCTGAGAGCACTCGCAGGAGCTGCGTAGGCAACGGCAGAGGGCAGGGGCGCTGGAGCTGGCGAGTGCGGAGCTGCGGTTTGAGTTTGACGAGAGCCGAGGGACACCCAGGCGGGTGTTTTCGAAGCAGGAGATCCCGGTGAGAGGGGCTTGTAGTGAGACGTGCTTATTGCGAGGTGAGTGCACAGCTGTGGTTTGGGTTTGTTTGACGAGGGCAGAGGTGTGAGAAAAGGTGAACTTATAAAAGTTGATTAGAGGGAAATCACAAGGGTTTACATAGGAATGTGAGGAAAGGGAGGAAGGGAGAGTTGGTTGGGAGTTGGCCAAGATTATTGGCCCCCACCAATAATTCTGGTTGGGATTATTGGTGGTCCAATAATTCTGGTGGGAATTATTGGGGGTCCCAAATAGTTGTGGACCCATTCAAATTGGGAACCCAACCAAGTTGGGAACCCAACCTCCAATTAGGGTTATTACACCCTAATAGTAGTGGAGTGCTTAACTCTACTCAAGACTAACAAATCTATGTAGACTAGTGAATACAGTAAGATATTCTAACACAACCCCTTAGTCTGCATAGAGAGAAGTCTTGAGGCAGAGAATGGAAGCAATCTCTGAATCAGGACGGCGCGAGGGAGGAAGCGAGCGGTACGTGGTGAGTTTGCCCGAGGGAGGGGCTGCTGAGGGTGGTGCGTGGTGCTGTCGCCGGAGGAGGACGCGGGCGGCGTATGAAGCTGCCGCTGGAGGAGGACGCGGGCGGCGCATGAGGCTGTCGTCGGAGGAGGATGCGGGCGGCGCATGAAGCAACAGCCAGAGGAGGACACAGGCGGCGCATGAAGCTGCCGTCGAAAGAGGACGCGGGCAGAGCATACGGCTGCCGCCGGAGGAGGAGGTGCTGCTGCTGCTGCGGGCGGCGCGTGCGGCTGCCGACGGAGGAGGAGGTGCTGCTGCTGCTGCTGCGGGCGGCGCGTGCGGCTGCCGCCGGAGGAGGAGGTGCTGCTGCTGCTGCTACGGGCGGCGCGTGCTGCTGCTGCCAGAGGAGAAGAGGTGCTGCTGCTGCTGCGGGCGGCGCGTGCTGCTGCCACCGGAGGAGGAGATGCTGCCGCTGCTGCGGGCGGCGCGTGCTGCTGCCGCCGGAGGAGGAGGTGCTGGTGCTGCTGCGGGCGGCACGTGCGGCTGCCGCCGGAGGAGATGCTGCTGCTGCTGCGGGTGGCGCGTGCAGCTGCCGCCGGAGGAGGAAGTGGTGGTGGTGCTGCTACGGGCAGCGCGTGCTGCTGCCGCCGGAGGAGGAGATGCTGCCGCTGCTGCGAGCGGCGCGTGCTGCTGCCGCCGGAGGAGGAGGTGCCGGTGGTGCTGCTGCGGGCGGCAGGTGCTGCTGCTGCTGCGGGTGGAGCGTACGGCTGCCACCAGAGGAAGAGGTGCAGCTGCTACGGGCGGCGCGTGCTTCTGCCGCTGGAGGAGGAGCTGCTGCAGGGGGAAGGGAGGTGTGAGGGGTGGCTGGAGGGTCCGGAGGAAGAGGAAAGGACGTGAGAGGGGTGGCGGGAGGTTTCCAAGGAAGAGGAAGGGAGGTGAGAGGGGGCCGGGAGGAGCGGAGAGGGGGGGGTTAAGGAGCCGCTGAGGGGAGGGGAGTGGGGGGAGGTCGGGCGGAGGGAGGGTTAAGGAGCCGCTGAGGGGAGGGGAGAGGAGGAGGACGAGCAGAAAGCCGGTTAAGGAGCAGCTAAGGGAAAGGGAGGGGAGAGGGGGAGGACGGGTGGAAGGCCTGTTCAAGAGCTGCTGAGGGGAGGGGAGAGGGAGAGGACGGGTGGAAGGCGTGCTGGGAGTCGATGAGGGGAGAAGAGAGGGGGAGGACGGGCGGAAAGCGGCCTCAAGTGCCACTGAGGGGAGGGGAGAGGGGGAGGACTGGCGGGAGTGGGGCTAGGAGCCGTTGTGGAAAGGGGAGAGGGAGAGGATGGGCGGAAGGCGGGCTGGGAGCCATTGAGTTGAGGGGAGGGGAGAGGGGGAGGATGGGCGGGAGGCGGGCTAGGAGCCGTTGAGGGGAAAGGAGAGGGGGAGGACGGGCGGAATGTGGTTTAAAGAGCCACTGAGGGGAGGGGAGAGGGGGAGGACGGGCAGAAGGCGGGCTGGGAGCCGTTGAGGGGAGGGGAGAGGGGGAGGATGGGCGGGAGGCGGGCTAGGAGCCGTTGAGGGGAGGGGAGAGGGGGAGGACGGGCGGAAGCGGGGGGCTAGGAGCCGTTGAGGAGAGGGGAGAGGGTGAGGATGGGCGGAAGGCGGGCTGGGAGCCGTTGAGGGGAGGGGAGAGGGGGAGGACGGGCGGGAGGCGCTCTGAAGAGCCATGGAGGGGAGAGGGGAGGGGGAGGGCTAGGAGTTGTTGAGGGGAGGGGAGAGGGGGAGGACGGGCGGAAGGCAGGCTGGGAGCTGTTGAGGGGAGGGAGAGGGGGAGGATGGGCGGGAGGCGGTCTGAAGAGCCACGGAGGGGAGGGGAGAGGGGGAGGACGGGCGGGAGGCGGTCTGAAAAGCCATGGAGGGGAGAGGGGAGGGGGAGGGCTAGGAGTTGTTGAGGGGAGGGGAGAGGGGGAGGACAGGCGGAAGGCGGGCTGGGAGCCGTTGAGGGGAGGGGAGAGGGGGAGGACGGGCGGGAGGGGGGCTAGGAGTTGTTGAGGGGAGGGGAGAGGGAGAGGACGGGCGGAAGGCGGGCTGGGAGCCGTTGAGGGGAGGGGAGAGGGGAGGACAGGCGGGAGGCGGTCTGAAGAGGCACGGAGGGGAGGGGATTGGAGGAGGACGGGCGGGAGGGGGGCTAGGAGTTGTTGAGGGGAGGGGAGAGGGAGAGGACGGGCGGAAGGCGGGCTGGGAGCCGTTGAGGGGAGGGGAGAGGGGGAGGACAGGCGGGAGGCGGTCTGAAGAGGCACGGAGGGGAGGGGATTGGGGGAGGACGGGCGGGAGGGGGGCTAGGAGTTGCTGAGGGGAGGGGAGAGGGGGAGGACGGGAGGAAGGAGGAAGTCGCGGGGGTGACGCGGATGGTGATGCGTGGGCGTCGCGGACGCCGCGATCGCGCAAGGGAGGCGCCGCGAGGACGCCGCCGACGCCGCGACAAGGACGTCGCGGACGCCGCGACGGGGCCGCCACGGACGGCGCGACGAGGCCGCCGAGGATGGCGCGTCGAGGGCGCCGCGGGAAGCGCGGAAGGGCGCCGTGGGGACGCACGGAGAACAGCCCAGCTGAACCCCGGCGTGCTAGGCGGGGGCGACGAGACTGTGGGAGGGGGAGGAGGCGAAATGCGGCGAAGTGCCGCTACGAAATGCGGCGACGAAATGCGGCCGGCGAAATGCGGCGAAATGCCGCGACGAGATGCGGCGAAATGCTGCGACGAAATGCGGCGGAATGCTGCGACGAAATGCGGCGGAATGCCGCGACGAAGTGCGGCGAAATGCCGCGACGAAATGCGGCGAAATGCCGTGACGAAATGCGGCGAAATGCCGCGACGAAATGCGGCGACGAAATGCAGCGGAATGCCGCGACGAAATGCAGCGAAATGCCGTGACGAAATGCGGAGAAATGCCGCGACGAAATGCGGCAGAGTGCCACGACGAAATGCAACGAAAGGAGGGCGCTTAAGAACGCGGAGGGAGGGCGCTTAAGGGCACGGAGGGAGGGCGCTTTAGGGCGTGGAAGGAGGGCGCTTAAGAGCGCGGAGGGATGGCGCGTAAGGGCGCGGCTGTAGGGCGCTTAAGGGCGCGGAGAGAGTTCATAGGCTAAGGATCGAGTATGGGAGAGGCGTGAGCCATAAGTTCTGAAACCATGTGAAAAAAGGTGAACTTAGAAAAGTTGATTAGAGAGAAAGCACAAGGGTTTACATAGGAATGTGATGAAAGGGAGGAAGGGAGGGTTGGTTGGGAGTCGGCCAAGATTATTGGCCCCCACCAATAATTCTGGTTGGGATTATTGGTGGTCCAATAATTCTGGTGGGAATTATTGGGGGTCCCAAATAGTTGTGGACCTAACCAAACTGGGAACCCAACCTCCAATTAGGATTATTGCACCCTAATAGTAGTGGAGTGCTTAACTCTACTCAAGACTAACAAATGTACGTAGACTAGTGAATACAGTAGGATATTCTAACAAGAGGGACGCCCGGGAGAGTGTTCTGCAAGCACGATATACTGGTGCGAGGGGCTTATAGTGATGCGTACTAACATTGAGACGCGCTTTATAGCGAGGCGAGTGCAGAGCAGAGCTGTGGTCGAGCTTGATGGGAACAGTGGGGCTTGTAGTCGCGAGACATGCTTACACGAGATGTGCTTATGCAAGATGTGATTATACGAGTTGTGCTTATACAAGATGTGCTTATTTGAGATGTACTGATAGGAGATGTGCTTATATGAGACGTGCTTATAGAAGATGTGCTCATATGCGATGTGTTGAGGTTCATGTGCTGGCAGCAGCCCAAGCAAGGTTAAAAAAAAGGTCGATTTTTTCCCCTTTTCACCGTACTATACGATATCGTATTTTTCGGCCGTCAAATACGATAAAAAACGATTCCGAATGTTTCATTTTCATTGGTGGAAAAAAACGGTCGTTTTAAACGACCAATATTTTTAAACGTAACAGAATTCGCAAAACAAACAAATTTGTTGCACATTTATGCGGTTGGGTGAACACCCAACCGCAGAAATTTGTTCAGTCAACAAATTCCCGAAGCGCGACCTCGGCACTATTCCGAGGCGCATATTTCTGCGGTTGGGTGTACACCCAGGAATGTGTTCAGTCAACACGTTCCCGAAGCGTGCCCTCAGCATTTTTCCGAGGCGCGCATTTAGGACGGTTTGCCAAACCCGCTGCGAAACTGTCGTCCGTTTTGCAACAGGCTGGTTTGTTTTTCGCGCCCAGTAGCATGCGTTGGCGCAAAACTGTCTATTAAAAAAACCTCCTTTTTTTCAGAAAATCACCGTATGATACCATATAAAAAAAAAACCATAGAAAAAAACGGCCTGCTGTTTTTTTCAACCTTGAGCACAAGGTGGGAACGAGTTCCCCCTCGCCTGCGTGGCCTCACTGCCAGGCTCGCCAGCCATGCCATGCCATGCCCCCATTGTCATTGGTTTCTACTCCCTTTCCTGCTAGCGGCACCCCCTGCTTCGCCAGGTGAATGCGGCGCCGGTGGCAGCTGCGCTCATGCTGCTGGCCAATGCTTGCCCCGTGCTCCTCCTGTGTGGCAGATGAACGCCGTGGTGGCTGAACTCATGGTGCTCGCCAACGCTGCTGTCGCCCGCAAGCTCACCAGGTGAAGCCTCCAACCACTCGCGCTGTGCGCTCTTTTTAATGGAAGCACTTCTATGTGTGGCTGACAAAAACTCGCTCAATGCCAGAGCTCCTGCGTTATGTTTTTCTGCTCCCCCGTCGTCTGAACCAGAGCCTTCCCCTCGAATGCTTTCCTGCGCCGCCACGCCCCTCCTCGGCCGAATGGTTTTCGACATCTCATGCATGTGGGTGCCATGACATGCATTCATGTGAGGGGTGTTTCATGCATGCATGCCGGTGTCGCATCAATCATAAACAGCCCATTCTGCTTCCATACTTTTGACAATAATAATTTCATCGTGAATTATTATTTTATTTTGCAAGCGCTCCACCATCGCTTTGCAATATTGTGCAGTGCGAGGCACTCCCATCTCATACCCACCTCTTCACCGTGTGTGTCTTTTCCTTCCCTGTTGGCTTCTTTGCAGTGTTGTGCAGTGCGAGGCATTGCACTCGACACATTGACAAACAAGGTCAGCATTCTTCCTTTTGAGTCGACTCAAAAGCGTACTTCAAGGTCATACAGCACCTTTTTATACTTGCAGCTTTTTATACTTGCACCTTTTTATACTTGCACCTTTTTATACTTGCACCTTTTTATACTTGCGACTTTTTATACTTGCACCTTCGTATACTTGCACCTTTTTTACTTGCACCGTTTATACTTGCACCTATTTCACTTGCACCTTTTTTTACTTGCACAATTTTGTACTTGCACCAGAGTTACAGTGATTTCAATGTACTTGTCCATGCCTTCTCGGTGCCCATCTCCTCTCTTCTCTCCTCACTTCTCCTCTCCTCTCTCCTGTCTCCTCCAACAGTCACTGGCCTCTTCCCTTGCAGCAGTCAAGCAACTCGGTGACCCCGTCTTGGATGTGAGCTCTTCACTTCACGCAAGGTCTTCTTGACCCGATGATGCTCCCTCTACCCTTCCCCCCTTCTTTCTTTGGCGCCCGTCATTTCAATTTCCTCATATTTCAGCCAACCCTCGTTCTTTCATGTTTTGCAGAATCGTTACAACTTGCATGCACAAATTGAACCGTCAGCACAACTTCCGCGCAACTTCTGTGCGTGTACATATGTCTTTGCGTCCTGTCCTCTCTGCAGTTTGGGCTCAAGGCCCTCAGCACCCGTGCGCTCTCAGAGGTGGGATGCGGTGATGTGGGATGAGATCCGGTATTGTGGGGATATATGAGAAGCAAATGCAGGCAGGATCTCTCCTGTGCATATGCGTGCTTGCTTGCACATTGCACACAGTAACTCCAACATCCGCGCATGCATGTGTCTCATGTTGCAGGTGATTTTTTAGAATTCTCAAAAATCGTCTGCTCATGTGCCTCTCACCCCCCATGCAGCATTTGTGTTCGTCTTTACTTTTGAGAAACACAATGACACATGCCATGCCTTCCATGTTTCTTTGCTTTGTGCTCTGTGTTTCCCCTGGCAAGAGCGTCTTCCGTTCCACATCCGTGCATCTCCATAAATCTCCATACCATCAAACCCACACATCAGGCGGAGTACTCACCAGCATCAGGCCAGCATGAGCTGTATATAAAGTGGACTCAAAGCACAGCTACTCTATCCCCATGTACCTCATGCCATCATTTCCCCCAACCCACTCGTCAGGCGGAGTACCTGGCAGCATCAGATGCTGCAGCAGACGGCATCGGAACTTATCACTACGGCCTCGCAGTGGAGTGAGTGAACTGCTCCCTCCAGTGGTGTGTAATGTTGAGGTCTGTCTGAGTTTACTCAAATCACAGCATCAGATGCTGCAGCAGACGGCGTCGGGACCCATCACTATGGCCTTGCAGTGGAGTGAGTGAACTGCCTGGGAGTCTGTTTCTTGTGGGGAGAGGTTGATAGGTCTCACACCTAGACGCCATTGGGACCCGTCACTACGGCCTTGCTGTGGCGTGAGTTGAATCGCTTATGCGCGCCTAGATTATACGACTACGCAGTAACCTCGCAGTGGAGTGAGTAACGATACCCCTCCGGTAGATTCTTGTACTCCCATCCTGACTACCCTGACTCCACCTCGCCCATTCGCCGCTACGCCAACCTCCTAGTGCACCAGAAGCTGCTGGCAGCAGTGACTGTGGGCCCCCCTCCAACCTCTCTCTCTGTCTTTTCATTTGCCTCTCACCCCGTCTCTCCCTTCCTACAGGCTTTATTCTCTCTTCACCTCCCCGATTCGCCGCTACGCCGATCTCCTGGTGCACCGGCAGCTGCTGGCAGCGACGTGAGTGACTGCCCCTCCTGGCAGTGGCGTGACTGCCCCTCCTCACCCTCTCCCACTCCCCTCCTCCCCCCACCCTTCCCAACTTTCGGATCTTTTCCTTCTTCCAGACTCTACTCGCACTTCACCTCCCCGATTCGCCGCTACGCCGATCTCCTGGTTCACCGGCAGCTGCTGGCAGCGACGTGAGTGACTGCCCCTCCTGGCAGTGGCGTGACTGCCCCTCCTCACCCTCTCCCACTCCCCTCCTCCCCCACCCTTCCCAACTTTCGGATCTTTTCCTTCTTCCAGACTCTACTCGCACTTCACCTCCCCGATTCGCCGCTACGCCGATCTCCTGGTGCACCGGCAGCTGCTGGCAGCGCTGCAGCGGCAGGGGAGAGGGGGAGGGAGAGGGGAGGAGGGTGGCGCGGGAGGAGGGGGAGGGGAGGAGAGCAAGGGGGCGGGGCCGAAAACGGAGGTAGGGAGAGGAGAGGGAGAGGGAGAATCAGGGGAGGGGAGCACAGCAGGAGGGGGGCAGTTGGATGGGGGAGGAGGGGGGAGGAGGAAGGCGTGGGGGGATGCAGCAAAGGTGTGGCGAGGGGAGGGTGTGAGGGAGGAGGAGGGGGTGGGGGAGAGGGGTGGGGGGGGAGGAAGTGAGGCAAATGGGGGGCCACGAGGAAACGAGGGGGCCGCAGAGGCGGATGAAGGGGGTGGTAGGAGCGAGGAGGCGAAAGATCGAGAATCGCGAGGCGTGGAGTGGGACAAGGTGAGGAGCCAGGCATCTCGAGTTCTTCGATGTCTCTCTGGGCTCTCCTACTCTTCCCCGTCGTGCCTATTTTCGAGCTGACTTCTGAGTCTATTCAAAAGATAGGCGTCTCTCGAGTCCTTTGATCTCTCTGGATGCTACTACTCTACTCTTCCCCGTCGCGCCTGTATTTCTCTCCATCTATCCTGCAGCCTCCCCTATCTAGCATCCCACCTTCTCAACAAGCAGCACTGTTTGAGGCGTCTGTCTCTCCCTCTCCGTCCCACCTCTCGCCTCCTGGCCCCCAGTTTGCCTCCCACCTCAACAAGCAGCGCCGCCTGGCAAAGCTAGTGCCTAAGAGGAGCGCAGAGCTCTGCCTGTTGCCCCTTGTGTTGAGATGTTAAACTCACTCCCCTCCCACCATCCTCCCTCCCCCCTGCTCTGCAGCTAGCCGCCCATCTGAACAAGCAGCACCGGCTGGCCAAGCTAGCGTCCAAGAGGAGTGCAGAGCTCTGTTTGCTGCTGCTGCTGAGGGAGCAACCGTTGGTGGAGAGAGCAGTGGTGAGCAGTGAGGGAAGAGGGGGGGGGGGGGATTGGTGGGGAAACAGGGATTGTGTGGGCGGGGAACTATGGAGGGGATGAGACGGGTGGTGCTGGGGGCGGCTCTGCCTGCTGCTGCTGCTGCTGCTGCTGCTGCAGCTGAGGGAGCAATCGTTGGTGGAGAGGGCAGTGGTGAGCAGTGAGGGAAGGGAAATGGGACGGAGGTGGGCTGGAGGAGGGAGGGGGGATTGGAAGGGTCCGGCTGGGGTAGCTTTGTCTGCTGCTGCTACTCCTGGGGGGGACAACCATTGGTGGAAGGAACTGTGGTGAGAAACGGGAGGGGGAAGGGGAGAAATAGGGATTGAGTGAGGTTGGGAATGGTAGAGGGGATGAGATGAATGGTGCTGGGGGCGGCTCTCCCTTTCTTGCTCCTCTTGTTATTTTCTCTAAGATGGTGTCATTCTATGATGGATAATTGACTCTATTCAGCCGCCCTTGTTCTTCTCATCTCTCTCTCTCTACTGCTTGACACTGCTGCTTCCTCACCCATCGCATCCCATCGCATCCCATTGCATCCCATCGCATCCAATCGCATCCAATCACATCCCATCGCATCCCGTACCGCCTGATAGCACGTATGTGAGATCCCAGGGATCGCCACTCATTGCAGGAAGAGCTGCAGTGTGGAACTCTGTTAGCACAAAGATCAAAGCCTTGTGTAAAACTTGTGAAGATTCTCTACTTGACAGAAACTAGGCTCTCAGTAAAACCCACTCAAGATTCAAACAAGAGGGGAGACCTCGGTTCCCGTGCCTGAAAGAAGTGGAGTGTTGAGACGTCTCAAAGCGACACTTCTATCTTTGAGGCGCCTCAAAAGACGTCTCAAAGCGACACTTCTATCTTCTATCACACTTTCTACTGCCTGACACTGCTGCCTCCTCACCCATCCTATCTCATCCGTTCCCCTGCTGCCTGTGCCCCTACCCATCCTATCTCATCGGTTCCCCTACTGCCTGTGCCCCTACCCATCCTATCTCATCGGTTCCCCTACTGCCTGTGCCCCTCCTCCCAATCAGGTGGTGTCGATTCACGACGGCTACTTGACTCTCTTTGTGCCTCGCCTTGACGTGCAAGGCCAGGTGCCCTTTCAGGTGCGCTCAGGTGCCTTTTCAGGTGTGCTCAGGCGCCCTTTTAGGTGTGCTCGGGTGCCCTTTCAGGTTTGCTCATGCTCCTTATGAGGTGCGTGCAGGTGTCCGTTCAGGTATCAGGGTTTAGGGGTTTAGGGTTTAGGGTGTGTTCATGCTTCCTTCCTGGTGTACTCAGGTGCGCTTCCCGGTGTGTTCCTGTTCCTATTTAGTGTGCTCAGGTGCCCTTTCAGGCGTGCTGAGGTGTCTTCGTATGCTGTCCATCTGCCGTCCATTTGCCATCCATCTGCCCACAGGACAAGGACAGCATGGCAGTGCTGCCTCGCAAGCACGTGAGCGTGGAGGCAGAGGAGGCGGAGCAGCAACAGTTCCGGCACAGGCTGCGAGTGAGAGTGGAGACGGGGGATGGCAGGCGAGTGGCACCAACTGACCTCATGGGGAATGCAGGGGATGCTGCTGCTGCTGCTGCTGCTGCTGCTGCTGCTGCTGCTGCTGCTGCTGCTGCTGCTGCTGCTGGTTACGAGGAGGATGACGAGGAGGATGAGCGGGAGGGTGGTGGTGGTGTGGGCCAGTGCGGCATGGATGAGGACGCTCCTGCATGCGTCAAGATAGTGGTGAGTGCACATGGCACGGCATGGCACATGGTTTTCCATTGTCAAGTCAGGCTCATCCAATCTGTTCGCCACACTTCGCATCACCCAAACCAACTGTCTTCCCACTCTCTTCTCCCTCCCCCCCCCCTCAACCATCAAATCCTCTACCAGGATTTCCAGCAAGGCTTCTCCATCGTCGAGTACTGGCTCTTCCAGACCCTCTGGGTCCAGCTGTCCGCCTCAGGTGAATTTTGAGGTTCAGGGCATTTTGAGGTTCAGGGCATTTTCCAGGGTCATGTTGATTCCATGATTCAGCTGAGCATTGATTGCTTGTGGTAGGCGGATCAGCAGAACGGAAAGACTTACACCAACTACTAGCACGTGCAACCCTTTAACCCCCCCGTTTTGCGGCGCCTCAAAAACCGCGTGGGCTGAGACTGTTTTTGAGGCGCCTAAGAGAAAGCCCCACCGTTCAACCCTGACTCCATCGCCCCCCCTTTCCTTCCTGCCGGCTCCATCGCTCGCGTCCCCACACTCGTTGTGGTATCAGCAGATGCAGATATTTTTTATACCAAAAGCTCGCTTCCCCACACTCAAAGCTTTTGAGTCGAGTCAAGATGGTAGTATTGGCAGATGCACACCCCTCAGCCGTTGCTCGTGTTCCCTCCTCCTTTGCTGTGCTCCCCTTCCCGTGTACCCATGCCCAACCCCCCCCACTCCTTCTCCCCTCCCAGGCTCCATCGCTCGCTTCCCCACTCTCAAGATGGAGATACTAGCAGATGCACACCCCTCAGCCGTTGCAGCGAATCTCAAGAGCCAATCAGAGGCTGCCAGCTCGGCTAAGCGAGGGCTGCTGGGGGAAGAGGAGGGAGGAGGGGAGGAGGGTTGTGGGGAGATGGGAGGAGAGGGTGATTTCCATTCCTCTCACTTTGGACCCTGGAGGGAAGAGGAGGAAGAGGATGGGGAGGAGGGGGAGGAAAGGGAGGTGGGGCAGAGGAGGGGGAAGACAGGGAAGGTTGGAGGAGGGAAGAAGTGGGAGCAGGGAGGAGTGGGGGATGTGGGGATTACGAGTCAGAAGGACGTATTTTCTGGGAAGGTTCCAGTGGATGGCCTGATTTCATCAGGCGATGTGGATTTTGAAGCGGATGCTGCTGCGGCTGCCACCGCCGCTGCGGTGGCTGCAGCCGTGGTGGCAGGGGAAGGGGAAGAGGAGGAGGAGGCAGGGGAAGAATTGCAAGACACAGGAGATGAGGGAAGGGCAGGGGAAGGGGGAGGACACAAGGGGGGTCAGAAGGGGGGATCAAAAGGGAAGGGTGGGAAAGGCCAGCAGGGTATGGCAGGTGGGGGTGAAGAGGGAGGGAAGGAGGATAGAGCTGAGGGGCTGGGCATGGATGGTGGGGAAGGGGGAGAGGAAGGAGAGGGAGGAGGGTGATTGGGAGGTTCAGTCCGGCAGCAGCCAGCAGTGAGAGCGACGCCATAGCCAGCAGCAGCAGCAGCAGCACTGCCAGCAGCGGCAGAACCACTGATGGTGCAGCAGGAGGTGGCGGTGGCGGTGGTGGTGGTGGTGGTGGTGGTGGCGGTGGTGGCGGTGGTGGTGGTGGTGGTGGCGGTGGTGGTGGTGGTGGTGGTGGCGGTGGTGGTGGTGGCGGTGGTGGTGGTGGTGGTGGCAGTGGTGGTGGTGGCGGTGGTGGTGGTGGTGGTGGTGGTGGCGGTGGTGGTGGTGGTGGTGGTGGTGGCGGTGGTGGTGGTGGTGGTGGCAGTGGTGGCGGTGGTGGCGGTGGGTTGGGTGCGTTCCGCGGTCGATGCGGCATGCACGACTTGATGGACGCCATGCGGGCGCTGCACATGGCGGGAGGTGAGGCGTGCTGCATGAGGTGAGGCGTGCTGCATAAGGCAAAGGACACTCTGCTATTATTGCTCCAAATTCTTCCAAATTTTTATGGGTATGGGATCAATGCGCTGTGCATAATCTGATGGAGGCCGTGCAAGCACTACACATGGCGGGAGGTGAGGCATGCACACATGGCGGGAGGTGAGGCATGCACACATGAAACCATCAATGTCCATGTGGCAACCGTTCTTCCAACACTTGCCATGAACCATCCATGTGAACCGTCTTTCCCGTTACCTGATTCCCACCTTCCCCTCCCTGCCACCAAACCCTTTCGTTCTAATGTGTTTCCGGAACCACCCTTAACAATACCACCACCCCAATCCCATGCGATTCTATTCCATCCACAGACTCAGCACGCCTGGTCAGCTCGCCAGCGGACCTTGCTTGCGCTTTTGAGTCGACTCAAAAGTCCAACCCTATCCCATTCGCTTCGTTCCATCCACAGACTCTACAAGTGTGGTCAGTTCGCCAGCGGACCTTGCCTTCTCTCTCTCACACAGTGGAGCGCCCCTCAAGGGCCTGCCCCTTCCGCCTCGGCCTCCTCCCCCTCCACTGCCAGTCCACTTCCTCTGCCGCCCGGTGTTTCCATAAGTGCCGCCCTGCCACTCTCCTTGGGCGAGGAGGCAAGCCTCAATGGTGGTTCGTCCATGCGACAGAAGCAGCTGCTGGTGAGTGTGATGATGTGTAGAGTCAGGAGATTGTGTTCTCTTTCTCTGTTATGCCACTCTTCATCCTCTATAAGTTTCGTCACTGTCTCTTTGATTTGAATCATGCACGTGTACCCCAATCTGTTTCATGATGCAAGTCGCAAGTCTATTTCACCCTGAATGTGCTCCTTTACTGTGTTTCCAGGCAAAAGCGGCTCACATCCGCGCCATGCTGAACAAGTCTGCCAGATCAAATGCAACTGAAAAGCAGCGGAGAAGAGCTGCGAAAGAAGCACTTCTGCGACAGAGAGCTCAAGGTCAATCGTTAGGAGTCTATTTTTGAGCCGCCTAAAAGAAATAGCTGGAAATTTGCAAAAGAAGCACTTCTGCAACAGAGTGCCATGATGAAAGTTACAACGCGCAGTGCATTGTGAAAGCTTGCTTGGGTCATCTTGGCAAATGCAGCGTGCTTCATTTCATATGGGATTGCGTACATGGTTCTCGTCCAATAGACTACACCTAAATAGGGTGGGTGGGTGGGGAAAACGAAACTGGAACTAGAAATGAAGAACGTGGGTGAGGTCGAATGGCCTCACGTCCCTCTTTTGTAGGCAAAAGAGGGTGAGTAGCGCTTCGTCGCTGTCCTTGCTGCGTTGGCCCTCGCTACACTTTCACAATACACATTTTTTATTAAGCGTTACACGTTTTCAAAAAATTACATATCATGTTAAATTATATAAGTGTAGGCTTGGTAGATGTTATTGAACATTACTGTATAGGGTACAACACCCCTCCTTGTATCCCTCTCTCTTCCTTTCTAGGCTCTCTTTTTCTCTCGACATTCTCGCCTACCGCATAGATCTAGATCTCACGCCATCTTAATGGCTTCACCTATTTCTACTTAGCCTACCTTCACGACATGGTATCAGAGCAGGACGCCCTTCCCGGGGCTGCTCTCCACGCTTTCGCTGCGTACTCGTCCTCACCTTGCCGCCGTCGCGGCCTTCTGTCCGCTTGCCGTCGTCGTGGCCTTCTGTCCGTTTGCCGCCGTAGTGCCATTCTGTCCGTTCGCCGCTGTCGCGGCCTTCCTACTGCCTGCCGCCGTGGCACATTTTCCAAGATGCCGCGGCGGCCTTTGTGTGCTGTCATCCCAGCGTCGACGAGCAGCCGCGGCTCTGACGCCACGCTGTGGTGGCGTCGTCGTGGTGCCGTGGCTGTGTCGTCGGCCTGTTGCCATCGCGCACCACCTGCGTCGCTGCTGGATTTGCAGCCCGCCCGCTTGCTAGTAAGCGCCGCGCCACCAATGGCGCCGCGCTGAAGATCCGAAGCCCCGCCCCTTCCCCCTTTCCTCCGTCCCCTCCTCTTCGCCACAGCCGCCGTCTGACTCTCGCCGGTCGTTCCCCTAGTGCGGAGTTTGGACACGCCGCCGGAAGGGCGGGGGCCGCTGCCGTCACCGCCGTCGTAAGCCGAAGCCGTCGCCGCTGTTGTCGCCGCAGGCCTGTTGCCGCCGCACGCCCGTCGTCGTCGTCGCTGTCGCCGCTGCCGTGGACTGCCGCTGTCGCCATCTCCAAGGCCTTGGGGTTGGCCCTGTTGGATTCGTCGTGGCTGATGGGAATGGGGGTGCTAGGTTAGGGGGTGTGGGGGTGTGTGGATCCTTCTACTACCAAGCTTAGGGGGTGTGTTAAATCATATAAGTTATTCTATAAGTGTAGGCTTGGTAGATGTTACTGAACATTACTGTAGAGGGTACAACACCCCTCCTTGTATCCCTCTCTCTTCCTTTCTAGGCTCTCTTTTTCTCTCGACATTCTCGCCTACCTCCTAGATCTAGATCTCACGCCATCTCCATGGCTTCACCTATTTCTACCTAGCCTACCTTCACGACACATCATACATGGTCCATCATGGTACCGTAATCCCCCGAATATATGCCCACCCTTTAATTAAGCCCATTAGGCTTATAACGTGCAAGTGCATTTATATCCGTTATTTCATTAAAAGCCCACCCAACTTATTGCAAAGGAGTTTCCTATAAGCGCATCATATTTCCGTAAAAAAACCGGCTGGAACGCGGAAATTTTATATTGGAAACCCCCACCAGCCCTCAAGCGCCCCTTCCGCAGCCCTTCCGAGTACCTTGTTACCGACAAGCGTTTTTTCCGCTCACTAGGCCTGGCTGTGATTGGTTGATTCCACTGTGGATTTGTTGGCGAAATATTCACGAGCCGTTTCCACCCAATCAATCCATGTGACCCCCTCTGGAGAATGATCCGTTTGATCACAAATTCACCGAGCTACATTTTGGTGCCCATGGGCTTATAAATTTTATTTGATTAAAAGCGCATTTAAATTTCCAAGGGGTTCCCCTATAAGCACATATGGCCCTATGTGGGGGATTACGGTACTATAATCCCCTGCAGTAGACACCGTGGGGTGTACTGGTTAGGGCGTGGAATGTACGGTTTCGAACTGCCAGCAAGGGTACAAACAAGACAAGAGCAAACACGGGCGGCAATACTAGTCCAACCACTGGAACAGTAGCCATAAGGTCAGTCAGGAGAATATATATAAATGAGAAGTACACAATCAAGGTCCTAGCGAGGAGCTACAGGAACTAGACCAAGCTGTACACAGTGCCGCTGATGATCTTTAGGCACAAGCGCCTCAGTATAGATATCAGCTGTGTTGGCACCTGAGGCCAAGTGTACTACGCGGGACTGGCGGCGCTGCTGTAGCTCACGCAGAAGAAGTACCGCAGCTGGATGTGCTTCGTTCTGCCCTCGAGTCGAGGCTCCTGACACTAGAGGATCATGGCCCTGTTGTCAGCGTATAGGACCAGGGCAGAGCTAGGTCGCTCACCTAAGTTTGTGAGCAAGAAGGCCAGCTAGCGGAGCTCCTGTGCCGCCATGGCACCAGCGTAGATCTCAGCCTCACATCTAGACTGTGCAACAGACGACGAGCGGGTGGACCTCCACGAGATGGCGCGTGCACCAAAGCTAAAGCAGTAGCCTTGGGAGGACCTGAGCGTCTCAGCGTCGTTTGCCCACGAAGTGTTTGTGTGTCCTGTAAGGACCACTGGCCTGCGTCCTCGTAGTACTAGCCCCATGCCTGATGTACTTGCTAGATAACGCAAAACCCTCTTAGTGGCCGACCAATGCTGTGGTCGATGTCTGCCTGTCGCCACAAAGCAAGCAAGGATGCTGAGAGGGTATGCGAGATCTGGACATGTGCAAGTCATCAAGTACATGAGGCGATCCACCAGCTCTGCGTAAGGACGAGTAGGGTCTACTGACTCGTCAGGGACTGGAGCTGAGAGCCTGTGGTCTACTGGCAGAGATATGGGCTGTGCGGAGGAGAACTGAAGACCGAACATCTGAAGGACCTGATGCACCAAGTGTGACCGTGTGAGAGTGATGGTGCGCGTTGCTCTGTCCCTGGAGATCTGCAGGCCAAGGTAGCGGTGCAGCTCTCCCAGGTCAGTGTAGGTGTGTCTCCTTAGCAGCTCGGCCTTCACGGAGGCCAGTGTATGTGTCTGCAGTAGCAAAGACCAGGTCATTTACTTAGACAAGGATGTAGAACGAAGTCTAGCCTGAGCGAACGAAGAGCGAAGGGTCTGCAGAGGACGGGAAGAACTGCAGGTCAGCTAATGTAGCACGCAGCGTGTCGTGCCACTCTCGGGGCGCCTGTCGTAGGCCGTAAACCGGGCGCCGGAGTAGCCAGTGGGTCCCCGGGGCGAAGGTGCCGGTAAAGCCTGGCGGGCGGCGCAGGTAGACCTGCTCGTGCAGATTGCCCTGAAGAAACGCTGTCAAGAAGTCGAGATAGTGCAGCTCGTAGTCACGCTGTGTTGCTACGTGTAGCAGCGCGCGAAGAGTAATCATCTTCGGGGTCAGGGCGAAGGTCTGGAAAAAGTCAACACCCTCACGCTGACTGAAGCCTCTAGCCACATAGCGCGCCTTGAACTCCGGCAGCTCTCAAGGAGGGCGCTTCACCTTGAAGAGCCACCAGCCATCGTCTGTGTTCACCCCACGTGGGGGAACTGCATCGACGTAGGTGTTGGTGGATCTCCAAGATGCCATCTCCTGTTCCATGGCAGCTATCCACTGTGTGGCCCAGGGTTCCGAGGTCGCCTCAGCGTAAGTGTGAGGGGTCGGGATGTCAAAGGCGTCTGGGTCACCCTCGGGGACTAGCAGCATAGAGAATAGATGAGGCGCGGACTCGGAAAGGAAAGCAAGCTCGTACTGCCGGTCCTCCCGGATGTCATTGCCAAGGGCAGCAGCACCTCCGACGTACGGAGGAAGGGCAGGGTCCGAGACCAGAGTGGTGGCGTAGTCAAGGCGGTGGGTAGAGGCAAAGTCAGCGATGGCAGTGGCAAGAGCGTCAAGACTTGAGACAGGAACGGAGAGGTCGGTAACGAGGGAGGCGAGGACAAGAGGAACAGGGGGGCTAGCAGCACGAAGGAAGTCAGACAGAGGAGGCAGAGTGAAAACAAACGACGACGGAGGAGGCGAAGGGAGGAGGGGAGGACGAGACGCGTGGGAACGATGCAACATACAGTAGGGTAAGAATGCTGAACAGGAGAGACAGGACGAGCATGAGAGGGACGGCGAGACCAGACGTGGGACGGAGGCGTCGGGTCAGGAGACACCAGAGGGGACAAAGGAGGAGAACGAGGGGGGAACGAGCTGGAGACGATTCCAGCGGAGGAAACACAGGGCCGTAGACAAGCAGGGGAGGCGGCGGCAGAGGAGGCGCAGGCGGGCGGTCGGGGGAAGGAAGACCGAGGAGGCGAAGGGCGGACACCGGCGGCGAGTGCTGCTGCTGCTGTTCCACGCCGACACCAGAACCTCCAGCTGCACCACGGCTGCCTCCGGGACTCTCCACGCCAACACCCCCAGAATGAGAACCCTCCCCAGCACCGGTGCCACCCCAAGGACCGCCGGGACAAGCCACGACAGTAACCCGAGGACTAGCACCATGCTCAACACCCGCACCCCCAGAGCTCGCGGACCCCTGCGATAGCTCCTGCTGCGGCAGCGGCGATTGCGGGTGCTGCTTCGGTTGCGACGACGGCGAGGGCTACTGTTGCGGTGACGGCAGACAACGAGACAGTGGGGCGAAGACAGGCGGCGAGAACGGAGCCGCGGGGCCACCAAAGTCAGCTGACTCCTCAACCGGGACAACCGACAGGAGGGGAGTGACGTGAGACACACCAAACGGGGCAAGACGGGGAGGGAGAGGAGCAGGGGCTACCGGGGGAGTGGGAACCAGAAATAGGGGTGGGGAAACCGAGAGACCTCGGTGGGGAAAGCAGTGGTAGAAGGAGATAGACTCGTCAAATGTGAAGTCACGCGAGTGAAAGAAGCGGTGAGAAGGCGAGTGGTAGAAGTGCCAGTCAGACGCATCAAGGGTGAAACCAAGGAAGACATGGGGGACATTGCGGGAAGTGAGCTTGTCCGTGCGTGAGGCACGAACGTGAGCAAGGCAGCCCCTGACATGGAACGCAGATGCGTCACTAGGGAACCCGGTCCAGAGAAGGGTCGATGAAACCTGCGGCCGCTGGGAGTGCGGCAACAGGTTAAGTTGGTGAGCGGAGTAGCGAACAGCGAACGTCCACAGAAAATGGGGTGCACCGATAGGTATCATAGAGGTACGAGCCACCTCCATGACCAAGCCGATGCATCGCTGAGTGACCCCATTCTGCTGCGGAGATTCCGGCAGGGTGTACGACTGGGTGATGCCCTCCGCACGACAGAACCGACCAAGCCGACCAGAGGCAAACTCGCCATCACGGTCGGAGTGGAGACATAGTACGGGGAGGCCGCGGTGGACTCGTGCAGCGACCACCCACGGGATCAGAATGTCAGGCACGTCGGCCTTCCACTCCAGGGGAAACATCATGGTGTAGTGCGTATAGTCGTCGACAAGCACTAGAAAGTAGCGCTCTCGACGCGGCCCAGGGACGGGGGCTGGGCCCCAGACGTCCAGGTGCAAGGTATGGAGTAGTGTAGTAGCAGGGCGAAGCGAGGAGGAGTGAGGAGCACTGCGCAGCAGGCCCTCGACGCAGGGCGTGCACGGCGGCGTAGGCGAGGGAGGGAGGGGAGGGAGCGACGCGGGGAGACCTAGAACAAGACTGTGCTAGGACATGTGACGTAGGTGCGGAAGGGCAGGGTGACCTAGGCGGTGGTGCTACACAAGCGACGGGTGAGTGAGCGACTGACACGCAAGCCGCAGCGACCTGGGTAGACGCATGCACTTAGGAAGGTGCCCTCACCAAGGGGGACATGGTGTCAAGCGTAAACAGGCCAGACACCAGGTCACGGGGGAACGTGGTGAGGGGGGCATCAGTGGCGGCCTCGGTACAGACCGCATACCGCTCGTGTCTGAGGAACGTAGTGGTGACGCTGAGGTCCTGAAAACAGCAGACATCAACTAGGTTCCTGGAGAACGAGGGGATGTGCAGGCCTGTAAGAGAGCCCGAGGGAACCGCCGGACAGGGAAGGGTAGAGGAGCTATGGGCAACTATCGGTCTTGAGGAGGGGTCAGCTAGCGCGACAACGGCAGGGGCGGCAAGTGGCGGGAGCGCAGTGTGGTCACGGAAGAAGTAGGCAGACGCACCAAAGTCAAGTGTGGAAGAGAACGAAGCGGTGGCGGCAGCTGGCGGAGGGGCTAGCATGGAGCCTAGGCTAAGCAAGGCAGACGGTCCTACGCCTGACGTAGTAGGGGAGCCTACAATACACTCAGGTGGCACACCTACACTAGGCAACACAGGGTAATAAGATCCAAGTACACTAGAGTTATCAGCATACATGGCATGCAATGCAGAGCAAATCTAATCCATATCCATCTCAAAGACCGGAACACGGCGGCATACCAGACCGGGCCAGTCGGGAAGGTCCGGCGCAGGGCCGAAGCGAAGACGAAAGAGGTCGTCGAGGCGGCGGAAACAGAAGGCAGCAATGTGGCTGGGACAGCCACACACAGTGCCGTGGAGGGGGCCAGTCTGGAGCTGGTACTGGCAACCTACAGAGCCGAAGCTACCACCCGACGCCGAGCTGCGAGGGCCGACTCCGTAGCCACCACCACCAGAGGCACCGGGCCACCCCGGCGGGAGGCGGCCCCATCTCCACCACCCCCACCACCCTTCCCTCCGCCACGCCCCCCTGGGGGCGGCGATCCCTACCCTGACGCGGCTGTGCTGATGCCGCAGCGGCGGTCTCAGCGCCAGGGGATGTCTCAGCGACAGCGGCACAAACGTCAGTGGAGGTGAGTGGCAAGGTCAGCGACAGTGGGGAAGGACGCAAGATCAGGGTACAGCATGGGGAGGACCAGGTGGCCAGCAGAGGCTGTGGCGGGCGTGGAATAGCGTGCAACAACTGCATCTAAGAATTCCTTGGCGTTTGCTACAGTGGTAAAGCAGGGACGCTCGGACAGGGGGAAGGCGTGACTAATAGCAAGCTGCGCTACGGCGTCGCGTGACTCCCATAGAGCACGAGCAAGCGCAGCAGCGGAAAAGGCCTCACGCTCAGCAGGGGTGGGGGCATTGGGAGGGCAGCAGGCGCGGTGGGACGGGGAAGCAGACCATCGATATGAACAGCCAGAGAGTACCCGTCCTGGCGCTGACCTGTCAGGTGACAACGAAGGTCAACGAGCCAGGCCTCAAAGTCGATCACCTGACCCTCTGCGTCCACCATCCCACGACCTCAGCGACTGACGGCGTCACGACGGCATGGCGGTACAGCGGCATGACGACCCGACGACACGGCGGCACAGCGGCACGGCGACACGGCGGCACGGCGACACGGCGGCACGGCAGCACGGTGACACAGCAGCACAGTGTCACGGCGAGACTGGGGTCAGCGCGAGGGAGACCGGCAAGGAAGGGGCCGGCGAGTAAGGGGGGGGAGGGGGGGGACGGCGAGCTGGGGGTCGGCTAGTGAAGGGCCGGCTAGTAAGGGGCCGGCGAGCTGGGGGCCGGCAAACGAGGGGCCAGCGAGCTAGGGGGCCGGTCCGCGCGGGGCCAGCTAGCGCGGAGCCGGCGAGCGCAGGCCAGCGAGCGTGGGGCCAGCGGGCGTGGGCCAGCGAGCGCGGGGCCGGCGAGCGTGGGCCAGCGAGCACGGGCCAGCAAGCGCGGGGCGACGAGGGCGGGCCTACGAGCGCGGGGCGACGAGCTGGGCCAGCGGGCACGGGGCTACGAGGGCGGGCCAGCGAGCGCAGGGCAACGAGGGCGAGCCTACGAGCGTGGGGCGACGTGCTGGGCCAGCGAGCAGGGGGCTACGAGGGCGGGCCAGCGAGCGCGGGGCGACGAGGGCGGGCCTACGAGTGCGGGGCGACGAGCGCGGGGCAACGAGCAGGGCCTACGAGCGCGGGGCAACGAGCGGGGCCTGTAGGCTAGTACAAGGGCTAGGACTAGAGCTAAGACTAGGGCTAGGACTAGGGCTAAGGCGGAAGTGCGGGTGGGTGAGGAGGACCTAGCCTAGCGTGATACCATCTCAAGGTAGCGAGTTCACTAGACTAGAATAGGGCATACAGGGTAGTTTTGTTCTAAGTGTTGTACTCTCTAGGGTATGCTCATAGCTAGCCTATAAACATGTTGACAACACAGGGTGCTCTGCTGTACCGACCCTGATGTTCCAGCCTAGGGGATGGGGTTTTTATGTGGTGGTGACACGGATTTTTTTGGTGGGTAAACACTGATGGGTCGGTGTAACAGCTTCCAAGATTAGTGGAAATTTGCCTGCCGGCGGAAACAAGTGCAAAGAATCACATTTATCCAACCTCGACTCAAAAATTTCATCCCTCATTCCCCTAGGAACAGGCCATCTGACCAGTACTTCGTAACAAGGGCACCACAATGCTAGCAAAACGGAAGCCTCACATTTTTAAACGCCTGTGGGCTACCCCATGCAGCAGCAGGGGAGAAGGTAACAACAAGGCCTCACAATATCGGCCTCTCACTCTCATCTTCCGCTCCCCCTTCTGTGTCATCTTCCACAACCCTAGGCGTGTCATCCGTCACTTTAAACGCCTCCAGGAAGTCCCTCTCCAGGTCGTGCAGCGCGCCGCACAGCACAAGCGAGTGCAGCGGCGCTCCAAAGTCCACATCCCGCAGCTGCTGCATGCTCCCAAACACCAGGCGCTGGGAATCGGCGCCCAGCCGTGCCGCCCCCACACACATGGAGTCAGCTGTGTAGGCTGAGGGGGCAGCGGTAACAGGAAAGGAAAGGAGATCGGGTGGGGGGGGACGGGAGGGAGAGGGGAAGGGGAAGGGAAAAAGGGAAAGTGGGTGGTGGGCAAGGGGAGATGAAAGGGACTGTGCTCCGTCCCCCAATACCCAATGCTTGCAATCGCCAGCCACAGAAGTACAGAGCTACATTCCCCCTCTTTCGCCTCACAAAGGGGAGGGAAGGGAGGAGAGAAACGGGAAACAGCGGATGTATGGTGAGGTGGGGAAGAGGCAAGGAGGGTCAGGGGGGATAGTACATGTCAGGAGGAAGAACGTGTTGGACGAGATTGGGGGCTGTGAGGCAGCATGAACATGGCGGACAGAGCACGAGCTGACTTTTGAGTCGACTCAAAAGGAGGAAGAACGTGCGGGACGAGATTGGGGGCTGTGAGGCAGAGTGAGTACATGGCATGGACATGGCGGACAGTACAGAGCACGAGTGAGCGCAAATCGAACGGGCGGAGCTGACGCTGACATGGCCTCTTCAAATGCGGCTGGGCTCACAGCCAGCCCAGGAGATTCAGCATGGCACCAGGCGCGGCAGGCAGTGGTCACTGATCACCTTTCTGCTGCCGCCTCCCCTCCACCAGCAGCAGCTGCCTGATTGCTGTGTTCACTGTCATGTAGCGAGGTGGCTCATACCGGATCTTTCCCCTGCACGTAACAAGAAGGCGGGGAGAGAGGTGAGAGAGAGCAGAGGGAGCAGAGGGAGCAGAGGGAGCAGCAACGCAGAAAGGACAGGCTGAGAGGCTTTGAGGTTTGACGAAGAGAGCAGGAGGGAAGAAACGAATCCTAGTGGAAACACGCAGCGATGAAGTGAGTCCTTTGCACAGAAACGGACGCCATACGCCATACAAATGCGATGAGCCAAGGTCCACAAAGAGCCCCTCTTATCTGGAGACTGGAGTGCAGACTATGGTATCCCACAACAACAATATTGCCGCTCTCAGGTGGCTGTTGCTGGTCTCAGGTGGCTATTGCTGGTCTCAGGTGGCTATTCCTGGTCTCAGGTGGATATTAGCTGGTCTCAGGTGGATATTAGCTGGCCTCAGGTGGACATTAGCTGGTCTCAGGTGGCCATTGCCGCTCTCAGGTGGCTATTGCTGGTCTCAGGTGGATATTAGCTGGTCTCAGGTGGATATTAGCTGGTCGCAGGTGGCCATTGCCGGTCTAAGGTGGCTATTGCTGGTCTCAGGTGGCTAGTGCCAGTCTCATCTCAGGTGGCTAGTGCCAGTCTCAGGTGGCTAGTGCCATTCTCGTCCGCCCAAGTCTCACTCACCTGCCCAATGCCCATGACCCAATTGGCTCACCTGGCCATGGCCTCGAGAGATGGCTCCTTCACCTTGATGTCTGGCGGATGGCAGCAGCAACGGGGCAAGGCAACAGGGGGAAGGAGGAGGATGTTGAGTGGAAAGATGATTGGCAGCGAAATGGGGAGAGGAGACACGGCGTGAGGAGACACGGCGTGAGGAGAAACGGGGTGAGGAGGCATGTGCAGAAAGGCAAGAAGGAGAATAGACGCCTACCGAGCAAGCAGAGCGTGTGGAGTTCCCTTTGGGCATTCCCTAGGATGCGGTCGTAGAAGCTGTCAGGCTGCCACGTGTCTGTGAAGAAGGGGATGGACACTGTCTCACCGAACCTGAGAGAGAGGCTCGGCAGGGATGAAAAGGAGGCAGAGTACGATGAAACTCAGTGCCGATACATGCATCATGCATGATGCATGGTGCATGGTGCATGGTGCATGGTGCATGGTGCATGAAGCATGATGCATGACGCATGATGCATGACGCATGATGCATGATGCATGGTGCATGGTGCATGGTGCATGGTGCATGGTGCATGGTGCATGCGTGACATGGGTGAAGCAGTGTCAGAACTCAACAGCTACACAGGTAAGGGTGCACGTAATGCAGTCGAGGGTACTAATTTCGACAAGCTCCCAGGGTACACCCCTTACCTGTACAGCTGCGCCCCTTACCTGGACAGCTGCGCCCCTTACCTGCACAGCTGCGCCCCTTACCTGCACAGCTGCGCCCCTTACCTGCACAGCTGCGCCCCTTACCTGCACAGCTGCGCCCCTTACCTGCACAGCTGCGCCCCTTACCTGCACAGCTGCGCCCCTTACCTGCACAGCTGCGCCCCTTACCTGCACAGCTGCGCCCCTTACCTGCACAGCTGCGCCCCTTACCTGCACAGCTGCGCCCCTTACCTGCACAGCTGCGCCCTTACCTGTACAGCTGCGCCCCTTACCTGTACAGCTGCAGCCCCATGCCCCCCACAGCATTGAGCACGGTCGCATTGTGCACCACGCTCACTGCCACGCCCTGCTGCTTCTGAGTCGACTCAAAAGCAGACTCACCTGTAGAGCTGCAGCCCTGTGGCGCCCACAGCGTTGAGCACGGACGCGTTGTGCACCACGCTCACTGCCACGCCCTGCTGCCGCGCTCGCAGGATGAGGTCCGTGTGCGTCGTGGCGCTGGGGGGGGGGGGGGAGGGCATATGAAGAGAAGGTAGGAGCAGGAGCCTAGTTTTGAGGGGCCTCAGAGCTGGGATGAGGTCCGTGTGCGTCGTGGCGCTGGGGGGGGGGGGAGGGCGGATGGGAGGAAGGCGGATGGATAGAATCGCATGGGGGGTAAAGGCCGCATTGACAAAGCACAGACTGAATTTTTGCAAACTAGGATGGGGTCCATGTGCGTGGTAGCGCTGGGAGGGGGCGGGCGGGTGGGAGGAGGGCGGAACGGATGGGCAAGGGAGGGATTGGGAGAGTGGAGGGAATGCAAGGTGTGTAATGCATCTAATTTGAGTAGACTCAGAAATAGACTCGTTACAGAGGGAGTGCATGGTGGGTGACAATGGTATCAAGATGGCCTCGCATGGTGTCCAGGGCGAGAGGCAAAGCAAGACAGTGGGCGGAGGAAGCAAGATGAGAAAAGAACGCTGTTTGAATTAAAAGAGGTGCAGCATTTGGAGTTAGGAGTTCCAGGTTCAGCGCTGGTTCCCTCAACGTACTCCATGAGCAAAACACATGCTATTCTCTTGCTGACGCTTCAGAGAAATAACACCACCTATTTATCACGTCATGGCACACCATAATCCCATGTCATGCATCATCCCATGTCATGCATCATCGCATGTCATGCATCATCCCATGTCATGCCATCATCTCACGGCGTGCCAATGCACACGGTCCTTATGGCACAGCCGCGTCGTCGGCATACAATCAACAACCCATACCACATCATCATATCAGCGTGGCGTGGAAACATGGCATTATGATTATCTGATGAAATCATGGTGGCATGATCTCCTACATGCCATGATGCCACCAGCACATCAGCCCTGGCAGCAGCCAGCCATGCACGCGGCACCCACCCGAAGGGGTCAGCACAACAGCCCTGGCATGGGCCGTGGCACGAGCAGCAGCCATGCACGCGGCACCCACCCGAAGGGGTCGCCCACAACGAGGAACGCCACCTCTTCCGTGGCGGCCAGCTGCAGCACCTCACCAATACGGCTCTCCACCATGTCCCGGTCCGCCACCTGCACCGGGCGCCCGTACAGCGCCTCCTGCTCACAGCGGGGGGGAGAGCGTGGCATGGGGCTGTTAGCGGGACGCTCAAGCAGCGCCTTCTCGCCTCTCCACCATGTCCCGGTCCGCCACCTGCACTGCCCGCCCGTACAGCGCCTCCTGGATTGAAGAGTGGGGGGAGGGCGTGGCACGGGGCTGTTAGAGGGGCGCTCAAGCAGCGCCTCCTTGCCTCTCCACCATGTCCCGCTCCGCCACCTGCACTGCCCGCCTGTACAGCCCGTGCGCCTGCAACTTAAAGCTGATGAGACATACAAGTGGCGATCAACTCCTCCTCACCAGCCTGTCTGTGTCAATGAGCAGCACGAACGTGAACTCTTAAAGAACTGGCAGCGCCGCCCGGATCATTTGAGTGCCTATCACCCACTCACCACCCTCTCCTCCTCTCACTACCCTCTCCTCCTCTCACCACCCTCTCCTCCTCTCTCCACCCTCTCCTCCTCTCACCACCCTCTCCTCCTCTCTCCACCCTCTCCTCCTCTCACCACCCTCTCCTCCTCTCACCACCCTCTCCTCCTCTCTCCACCCTCTCCTCCTCTCACCACCCTCTCCTCCTCTCACCACCCTCTCCTCCTCTCTCCACCCTCTCCTCCTCTCTCCACCCTCTCCTTAACCTCTCAACCCCTTGCCCTGTGCTCTCACCAGCCTGTCCTTGTCGACGAGCAGCACGGACGTGTACGCCTCGAGGAACACGTGCTGGCAGCGCCGCACCACCTCCAGACCCCTCACTGTGATGTCCCTCTCGTCCCACAGCCCCAGCCCCACCACGTGCAGCATGCTGCCCTGCTGCTGCTGCTGCTGCTAGCGCTGTTGCTGGTGGTGCTGCTGCTGCTGCTGCTGCTAGCTGCTGCTGCTGCTGCTGCAACTGCCTCCTCTGATCACGGGTTGGTGTGCGTCGGTCCTTGAAATGCGAGAGAGCCAGTGCATGTGCAGCCGCAAAGGCGGTCTGGTGGGGTACAGCGGCGGCTCCTGAGGGAGGCAGCACGTGGGGGGGAGGGAAGGGGGAAGGGGCGAGGGAAGGGGCGACGGAAGGGACGAGGAATGGGAGGCCTGTAAGGTTGATTTCATGGGCAGCGAGGTGCTCCAGGGGGCGAGAGGGCGGGCCTCAGGTGCGGGTGTTTGGGTGGGAGGGCGGCACAGGAGGCACAGGAGGCACAGGAGGCACAGGAGGCACAGGAGGCACAGGAGGCACAGGAGGCACAGGAGGCACAGGAGGCACAGGAGGCACAGGGGGCACAGGAGGCACAGGAGGCACAGGAGGCACAGGAGGCACAGGAGGCACAGGAGGCACAGGAGGCACAGGAGGCACAGGAGGCACAGGAGGCACAGGAGGCACAGGAGGCACAGGAGGCACAGGAGGCACAGGAGGCACAGGAGGCACAGGAGGCACAGGAGGCACAGCACAGGAGGCACAGGAGGCACAGGAGGCACAGGAGGCACAGGAGGCACAGGAGGCACAGGAGGCACAGGAGGCACAGGAGGCACAGGAGGCACAGGAGGCACAGGAGGCACAGGAGGCACAGGAGGCACAGGAGGCACAGGAGGCACAGGAGGCACAGGAGGCACAGGAGGCACAGGAGGCACAGGAGGCACAGGAGGCACAGGAGGCACAGGAGGCACAGGAGGCACAGGAGGCACAGGAGGCACAGGAGGCACAGGAGGCACAGGAGGCACAGGAGGCACAGGAGGCACAGGAGGCACAGGAGGCACAGGAGGCACAGGAGGCACAGGAGGCACAGGAGGCACAGGAGGCACAGGAGGCACAGGAGGCACAGGAGGCACAGGAGGCACAGGGGGGTAAAGAGGAGGTGTGAGGGGGGCGAGGGTCCAGCAGTGAAGGACGGATGGGTCGCATGGGGAGGCGCATGGGGAGGAAAGGACGCGTGCAGGGAACATGTGGGTGAGGGGTTGCTTGCTACAACGAGCGGCCACATGGGATGTGTGAACCACTTGGGTTCATCCTGTGCGTTATTCACTCCGATCCTCCCTTCGTCCCTTACCCACTCCGCTCCCCTTCCTCTGCCTCCCTCCCTCTCCCCCCTCTCTCCTCTCCCTCGCACCCTCCCTCCTCTCACTCCCTCCCTCCTCTCCGCCCTCCCGTCTCTCCCTCCCTCCCTCTCCTCCTCGCTTCCTCCCCCACCCAAACCATTCTCCTTCGTCGACTGCCTCCCCTCATCTCCCTCCCCCCCTCCCCCCTTCCTCGGCTCCCCCCCATCCCTCCCCCCGTCCGTGCGCGCCCACCCTTTCCCCCCTTCTCTTCCTCTCCTCTCCCCCCCTTCCCCACCTGCGAGCAGCGATGGGCCGCGGGGTTGTGGTGGTTGAGGGCGCGAGGGGCGAACGGGAGGGGCTGGGACAATGCAATGTGAGGGGAGGGGCAAGGCTGGGGGGAGAGGCGTGGCGTGTGGCACTGGTGGGCGGGATGGAGGGCAGGGAGACAGCAGGTGGAGGCGGTGGGAGGGGGTAGATGAATTGAGGCGAGGGGAGAGGGGAGAGGGGAGAGGGGAGAGGGGAGAGGGGGGAGGGGAGAGGGGAGATGGGAGAGGGGAGAGGGGAGAGGAGGGGGGGGAGAGGGGAGAGGGGAGAGGGGAGATGGGGAGGGGAGAGGGGAGAGGGGAGAGGGGAGGGGTGGTGAGGGCGATCTCGATGCGAGGGGCTTACGGCCGAGCGGTCAGGACGGCGCGGCGCGGCGAGTGCAGTGGAGGTGACGTGCAATGTGTGTACCTTGGGAGCTGTACCTTGGCAGGCATACCTTGGCAGGCGGTACCTTGGCAGGCGGTACCTTGGCAGGCGGTACCTTGGCAGGCGGTACCTTGGCAGACGGTACCTTGGCAGGCGTTCAAATCGCGACTTGTGCTCGATTGCGTGAGTGCCCGCGTCGATCCCCGCGGAATCGATGCCCTCGTTGACGCTACCCGATCGTCACGATCGGCGACGGTGCTCTACTGTTCAGCACGGTGCTGTATCGACGGGCCGCTTGCTTAGTAGGACGTGTCACATTTCGTCCGGTTCGCAAGATCGCTTCGCGATTCTCGCGGATTACCGTGCTTTACTACTCTGTAGCGTTTTTGTACCGCACTGAACCCTTAACCATTCAAAATGATCCGGACGAGGATCGATTTAGGCTATTCGACCCAAGTGCGACGCGCCCTGTTGCTGACGACGGATGGAGCCTACACACACCCGAAACCCCGAGACAGACGCTGCCGTTGCCAATCTCCCAGGGCGCGTTTCGGACGGCAGATCGTGCTGAACCTGAGTTGTGCGAACTGCATGGCCGCATTTGGCATGTCGCGGTACTGCAGATTCACCAAGCAGGGGGGAGGGGGGTGTGGGTGGGTTGGTTGGCGGGATTTGAGGGGGGGCTTTTCAGTATGCGCAATTGCGAGGTTCAGGTTGGGTTCCAATTTATCACATTTTCTGGCTACACCACCACAAATTTTGCGTTACAAAATATTTTGGGAGCAGGTCTGCTGCTACCTAGTGGCTCTGGCAGACGAGCCCAGAGGCGAAATCCCTGGCTCTACCCCTAGCTGCCTCCCGCTAGGGGAGGATGCGGAACGGGATATCCTTGGCTTTACTGCAGTGCTCTCTCATCGTCCCTCTGGGCTTGAGCTTGTCAGTCGTTCCCTGGCGACGACACACAGACGACCCATTGTCGAACGCTGTATCGTCGCTGTATCGTCGCTGTATCGTCGCTGCATCGTCGCTGTATCGTCGCTGTGCCGTCGCGCGCTGCTTGGTTCAAATCAATCCGTCCGTCGCCATGGCAGCGCGTGCGCCGTGCGTGCGTCTGCTGGTCCATCTCGACCCCTTCGCCACCACGCACATCAACTACACCCACCTGCGCCGACAAGCCGCTTCTGCAGCGGCCGCTGCGCCTCCTCCGCTCGGCGCGGAGCCATCGGCGGAAGGCGCGGGGAATGGTGGCGGCGGCGGTAAGGCGGAGGCGGATCGCCCCGCAGAGAAGGGCGCCGGCGGAGAAGAGAGCGCGAAAGGCGATGTGCCGCCGGGAAATGCGGCAAATCAGGTCCGCGGACTAGTCTAGTTGTTCGACCGTCGGTTAGCGTCCCGCTATTATGCTCCGCGGACTGTGTTTCTCCCCTTGTGCTCCGCGGACTGTGTTTCTCCCCTTGTGCTCCGCGGACTGTGTTTCTCCCCTTGTGCTCCGCGGACTGTGTTTCTCCCCTTGTGCTCCGCGGACTGTGTTTCTCCCCTTGTGCTCCGCGGACTGTGTTTCTCCCCTTGTGCTCCGCGGACTGTGTTTCTCCCCTTGTGCTCCGCGGACTGTGTTTCTCCCCTTGTGCTCCGCGGACTGTGCTTCTCCCCTTGTGCGCCGATTACTGCTGCGCCGTGAGATAGACGCGTGACTGAGACGGAACGCCAGGCACTAGTCTGTCCACTGCACACCCGCACCATTTATGCTTTTGAATCGACTCAGATTCAAGCTCAAAACAAGCGGTTTTGAGTCGACTCGAAAGGCAGTTGTCTCTCTACCGCACACGCGCACCATGTCCTGCGATGTTTGAAGGGCTTCCATTATACTCCACCCTCGGCTTCGCTCGTTCGTCCCCGCCTTCCCCCTCCAGGCCGCCGCGCGCAGCAGGGAAGCGGCGAAGGCCGCGCTGCCGCTGGGCGATCCGCTGCCCGAGGCGAGGAACCGCTTCAGCGCCGTCATCGATAAGATCTCCCGACTGTACGCGGTATGGCCATGGCTGCACGCGGTATGGCCATGGCTGCACGCGGTATGGCAATTGATGCATTTGAGCATGCTGTGTTCCCGGGCATAGCACGCACGTGTTGAGGCATGCTGTGTTCCCAGGTTCCGTGAGTCGTCTCGCAGCACTCGCGTGGCGTACGACCTCGCACGTCGCTATGAGCACACCTAGCTTGCTGCCGGCGCATCTGGGCGAACCCTGCCGGGCCATCCTAGCTGACGGCTGCACATCTCTTGCATACCCCCCTCCACCGCTGCATGCCCCCTTCCCCCCCTGCATGCGCCATCCCCCCCTGCATGCGCCATCCCCCCCTGCATGCGCCATCCCCCCCTGCATGCGCCATCCCCCCCTGCATGCGCCATCCCCCCCTGCATGCGCCATCCCCCCCTGCGCGCCCGTGCATGCAGGGCGCGGACAGCGACGACGATGACGACATGCCCAACGCGCCCACGGCAGCAGCAGGGGGGCAGCGGCGCCACAGGGAACAGAGGGGCAGCGCACGGAGGGTGCAGCGAGAGGCGGCGAGGGGGCAGGGGGAGAAGAGGAGGAGCGGTGGGAGGGGTGGGAGGAGGAGGAGGAGGAGGAGGAGGCATACTCAGAGGGGTACGACACAGACGACCCCTTCATCGATGACTCGGACCTGGTGAGCCCATGCGCGCTGCTGGTGAGCCCATGCGCGCTGCTGGTGAGCCATGCGTGCTGCTGGTGAGCCCATGCGTGCTGCTGGTGAGCCCATGCGCGCTGCTGGTGAGCCCATTCGTGCTGCTGGTGACTCGGACCTGGTGAGCCCATGCATGCTGCAGGCGCCTCCTCCGAGAATGCCCCCTTAGCCACCACCCCACCCCGCACCATGCGCACGCCCGCCCACGCCCGCCCCCCTCACCGCCCATTGCTTCAAACCCATCGACGACTCGGACCTGGTAAGCCCATGCGCTCGCACGCCCGCGCTGCCTGCTCCTCTCCTCTGCGCTGCACCATTTTCTGTAACGAGACGAGTATGATGTAGCTACTTGCCGGCGTGGCGGCGTAGATGCAGCGTTGCTGCCGGATTCGTGTTGCCGCGTCGTTGTGGCATCATGCCATCGTTTCGTGCTGCACTTGATGCCGTGGGTCATGTTCCGTCTCATCTCCCTCCATGTGAATAATTTTGCCACATGACCACATGACCACATGACCACATCGGGCGGCGGGCAGAGGGAGTATTTCTCGTCCAAGCGGACGTCAAAGCGCGCTGGCTTCTTTGTCAACAGAGCAGGCTCTGACGATTCCCCTGCCAGGTGCGGTGCCCGTTCCGTTTCCCCTGCCAGGATTCCATTCCCATGTGTCATTCGTTGCACCGTTCAGTCATTTGCTTGTATTGCAGTCATGGCTCGAGTCCTCAGGAGCCTTCATGGCTTTGTGTGGCAAACACCATGAGCTGTTCGCATCTCCGCTTTACTCCCTTTCAACCGTCCTCTCTCTCTTTCTCTCTCTTCCCCCTGCAAACCCCCTCCCCCTCCCCCCTCTCCCCGCACTTGCGTCCCCCAGCCCCTCCTCTCCTGCCACGTCACCACGCCCATCAGCAGCATCGCCTGCGTGCACCAGCGCGCCACTTCCCTCTTCCTCGCTGCGCGGCACGCTGCGGGGTGTCAAGCAGGCGGCGCGCGCAGCGGCAGCAGGGGGGCCGTCGAAGCCGCGGCGGCTGCACAAGTCGCAGCGCCTGCCGCAGCTGGGGGTGCGGCGGAGAGGGGCGCTCAAAGGGGGGGTATGGGGGGGCATGGGGGCGTCGGCTTGGGAATGGGGCATGTGGTGATGGGCGGGAGGGGTAGAGGCAGAGGGAGGGGGCGAGGGAGGGGAAGGGGGTCCGCTGCTGCTGATGCTGGTGAAAGTGGTGGTGCTGCTGCTGTTGCTGAGTCCCATGGCCGTCCGCAGCAGCAGCAGCAGCAGCGGATAGGCAGCGATGCTGGCGGCTCGTCTCCTGCCGCTGGTGGTAGCGGCGCTGCAGGCAGGGAAGAGAGCATACCGTGACTGGGAGGGTGGAGACAGGACGAGGTGGTGCACGGGTGGCAGGGGACAGCAGGAGGAGAAGGGGTGTGAGTGAGTGGGGGAAAGATGAGGAGGCGAGCACACACGTGGCGAGGAACTGAGCCGTGACTGGCAAGTGAGTGCTCCGTTCTCCTGTGATTGCGGGGAGAGTGCATGTGTGGCCAGTGTGATGCTGTGGTAGTGAGTCGTGACTGCTTGGCAGCGACCTGAGAGACTATAAGGTGCTGCTGGGCGCTTGATGAGGTGTGGTCATCAGATCACAAGTGTTTTAACTTGCCTCTGACATCCCCGCGATGGCCAAACCACTGACTCTGATGGCCTGGCAGGCGCCCATGACCAGACATGAGTCTCCGTGCTGGTTCTTCATTTTTCAGTGTTCCTTCCATGCGTTTTCCATCCACTCGTGTTCTCTTTTGTTTCTTCCCATATTTGTTTCTTCTGTTTCAGGTCAGGTTCCCTTTTGCCATGCGAGTGACAAATTCATCTGGCCGTGTTTACATGTTGCGCTGTTTGACTCAATAGCTACTACTCTGCATGACCATTCCAGTGCAAACCTTCTCCTTGGAATCAGGGTCCTAGATTGCCTTGGAACACTTTCTAAGCGATCAGAGGGGCGGATTTTTTATTTCTGATTTCCCAGACGAAGTGAAAGACGAATTCTAAATATTCAGACGAGTCAATCGACAAAATCTAATTGCCCCCGACACACACCCCCCCTCTCCGCCACCCGTGCACCCCCTCGTGGCCCTAGGATTTTCTTCACGTGAACTTTGGCGATGAAACCACTCGGAGTGGTTTTTAATTGGGGGACGAAATTGTGGGAATGGAGCAGAAAGGATTTGGGAAGGGATGCGAATCACAATTGCAGGGGCGGGAGGGGAATCGGCGCGAGCACACGTGGGGTATATACCTAAGAGTGTTGTACCCTCTAAGAGGTGACCCTATACAGTCTATACAAATATGAGTTATACATATATTTGACACACCCCCTAGACTGCATAGGGGCAAATCCTGAACAATCAGCTCAGGGCGGCACTACTAGTCCAGCCACTGAGACAAGGGTCTAAATGTCAAACATGTGTATTTGTTATGTTTGCATAGACTGTATAGGGTCATCTCTTAGAGGGTACAATACTTAGGTATATCTATCTGTACTCTCCCTCTATCTAATCATTCACTTCTCTCAGTTTGATATGGTATCACGCGTAGGTTAGGATCCTCCCACCTACCGCTTCCGCTCGTCCCCTAGCTAGGCCCCGCCGTGCCTCCCCCCTAGCCCCGTCGCGACCCCCTGGGCCCCGTCGTGCCCCTAGCCCTGCCGCGCCCCTCCTGGGCCCCGTCGCGACCCCCTAGCCCCCGTCGCGACCCCCAGGGCCCCGTCGCGACCCCCCAGCCCCGTCGCGACCTCCTAGCCCCGTTGCGACCCTCCCGGGCCTTGCTGCGCCCCTCGCCCCGTCGTGCCCCTCCTGGGCCCCGTAGCGCCCCTCCTGGGCCCCGTCGCGCCCCTCCTGGGCCCCTCCTGGGCTCCGTAGTGCCCCTCCTGGGCCCCGTTGCGCCCCTCCTGGGCCCCCCCCCCCCCTCCTGGGCCCCGTAGTGCCCCTCCTGGGCCCCGTAGCGCCCCTCCTGGGCCCTATAGCGCCCCTCCTGGGCCCCGTCGCACCCCGCCTCGGCCCCTCCTAGGCCCCGTAGTGCCCCTCCAGGGTCGCGTCACGCCCCTCCTGGGCCCCGTACCGCCCCTCCTGGGCCCCGTCGCGCCCCTCCTGGGCCCCTCCTGGGCTCCGTAGTGCCCCTCCTGGGCCCCGTCGCGCCCCTCCTGGGCCCCTCCTGGGCCTCGTAGTGCCCCTCCTGGGCCCCGTAGTGCCCCTCCTGGGCCTCGTAGCGCCCCTCCTGGGCCCCGTCGCACCCCGCCTCGGCCCCTCCTGGGCCCCGTAGTGCCCCTCCAGGGCCGCGTCACGCCCCTCCTGGGCCCCGTAGCGCCCCTCCTGGGCCCCGTCCAGCCTTCAGGCCCCGTCGCGCCCTGCCCGGCCCCGTCGCACCTGCCCGGCCCCGTCGCGCCCGCCCGGCCCCGTCGCACCTGCCCGGCCCCGTCGCACCGGCCCGGCCCCGTCGCACCTGCCTGGCCCCGTCGCGCCCGCCCGGCCCCGTCGCACCGGCCCGGCCCCGTCGCACCTGCCCGGCCCCGTCGCACCCGCCCGGCCCCGTCGCACCGGCCCGGCCCCGTTGCACCTGCCCGGCCCCGTCGCACCGGCCCGGCCCCGTCGCGCCTGCCCGGCCCCGTCGCGCCCGCCCAGCTCCGTCGCACCGGCCCGGCCCCGTCGCACCCGCCCGGCCCCGTCGCACCGGCCCGGCCCCGTCGCACCCGCCCGGCCCCGTTGCGCCCTGCCCGGCCCCTGCGCTCATCCCTTCCCCGGCCCCTTCCTCCTCACTGGTACGGTCCCCCCCCCCTCTCCCTGCACTGCCCTGCACCGCACTGCACAGCCCTGCACCGCCCCGCACCGCCCTGCACTGCCCTGCCCCGCGCTGCACCGCCCTGCACTGCTCTGCTTTGCACTGCACTCCACTGCACCGTACTGTCCCGTCCTGCCCTGCCCCTGATGGCGGCGGAGCTTCGCTTCGACGCTGAAGGCCAGCCTCTGGAGTTCGAGGCGTGGCTTGCCGACCTCCGGCGCCAACTCACTGGCCAGCGGCAGGATGGTGAACCGCTTTCCGCACACCTTGACGGTACGCTCCCCTGCCCAGACCCCCCTGCTATTCTGCCCGCTGACCCCACACCCACTGAGCGCGAGTCTACTGCTGCCACTGCCCGTGCGCGCTCTGTGTGGCTTTCTCGCGATGCTGTCGCCCAGCTTGCCATTAGCAACGCCCTTCCCCCGTCCGAGCGCCCTCGCTTTAGGTCCCTTACTACTGCTCAGGCATACTTAGATGCTGTCATCAAGCGCTATTCCACCCCTCCGGCTGCCTCGGTGGGTCGCCTGATCCTCCCGATGCTCTTTCCTGACCTTGCATCTTTCCCCACTGTCTCTGACCTCGCTGCCCACCTGCGCTCAATAGATGAGACCTGGCGCGCTGCCTGCACTGACGCACAGCTTAGAGCCCACCAGCCGCCCATTACCTCTACCCTTTACCTGCTTGCCACCCGCCTCCCTGACCGCCTTGCTGTCGCCCACGACCGCTTCCTTAGCATTCACCCCGCAGACCTCACCCTCACTGACTTTGTCGACACCCTGACTGTGATTGAGACCCGCCACCGCTCCATCGCCCAGGCGAGCGGTACCGTGCCGGTCCCTATCTTTCAGGGTTGTGCCCCCGCTCAGTGTACCTTCTCCGACGGCTCTGCCGCTGTGGCTGAGACTGCTGCTGCAGCGCAGTTTCGTTCGGGGAAGGGCCGCCGCCCCAAGGTTGGGCGCGGCGAAGGAGGCGGGGGTGCTGGAGGGGGTGGTGGTGGAGTCGGGTCGTCTGGTGCTGGAGCGGACGAGGGTACCCTGCCCAGTCCAGCTGAGCCGCTGCCCCTGCAGTCGCAGCAGCCGCAGCCGCAGCAGCCGCCGCAGTCGCAGCAGCCGCAGCCTTCGTAGCAGCCGCAACAGCCACCGCAACCGAGGCAGACGAGTGTCCTCCCGCCCGAGTGGCCCGGCGCTGGCGGTGGTCGGGCGCGTGGTGGTGTACCGAGTGGTGGTTCCGGGGGCGTGCGTTGTCAGTACCAGATCCAGACCGGTCCTCGCCGTGGCCTCGTTTGCGGTAAGATCGGTCATTCCACTCCCCGCTGCTTTCGTCGCCTAGACGACCTGTTCCGTCAGCGCTTCGGCCCGTCGCCAGACCTCCTGGACTGGCACAGCATGCTTAGACGTAGTATTCCGATTTTTGACTTGGACATGGATGCCATTGTTGCTGCTCTGCATGTGATGTATGCTGATGACTCTAGTGTGCTTCCCGCTTATTACTCACTGTCATCTAGTGTAGGTGTGCCTAGCTTAGCCTCCCCTGCTGCGTCAGGCGTAGGATCCCCTGCTGCGTCAGGCGTAGGATCCCCTGCTTGTTTTAGTCTTGGTGCGTCCGCCGTCGACCCCACGCCAGACGCCTCTGCTTCGCTTTCCTTCACCTTGGACTCTGGCGCTTCCCGGTGCTTCTTCCGCGACGCCACTACACTGACGCCGCTTCCTGTTCCTGCTGCCGTTTCTCTTGCTGACCCCTCCGGTGGTCCGGTAGTCGCCCGCAGTTCCACCACCCTTCCCTGTCCGGCGGTTCCTTCGGGCTCTCTCACAGGTCTGCATATCCCCTCGTTCTCCAGGCACCTAGTTGGTGTCGGCTGCCTCCAGGACCTTGGCGTCACCACTACGTTCCCTGGTCACGAGCGGTATGCTGTCTGTACCGAGGCCGCCACTGGTGCCCCCCTCTCCACGTTCCCCCGGGACCCGGTGTCCGGCCTGTTCACTCTGGACACCGTGACCCACCCGGCTGGAGCGCTCACCCAGGTTGCTGCTGCCTGCTCCTGTCGGTCCCTCACTCACCCGACTCTCCTTTGGCACCACCGCCTAGGTCACCCTGCGCTCCCGCGTCTGCGTCACATGTCCCAGCACGGTCTTGTCCTTGGTCTCCCAGGTTCTCTCCCCGCTGTTTCCCTCCTCCCCAACCCCACCTTGCATGCCTTGTGTCGAGGGTCGGCTTCGCCGTGCCCCTCACTCCTACTCGTTTCCCCCTACCGCCGCGCCGCTGCAGACCCTGCACCTGGATGTCTGGGGCCCCGCCCCCGTCCCTGGGCCGCGTCGAGAGCGCTACTTCCTTGTCCTTGTCGACGACTTCACTCGTTACACCACAGTCTTTCCCCTAGAGCGTAAAGCCGACGTGCCTGGCGCTCTCATCCCCTGGCTTGTCTCTGCGCGTGTCCACCGCGGTCTCCCTGTCTTGCGTCTTCACTCCGACCGTGGTGGCGAGTTTGCCTCAGGTGTCCTTGGTCGTTTTTGTCGTGCGGAGGGCATCACCCAGACGTTCACCCTACCGGACTCCCCACAGCAGAATGGGGTCGCCGAGCGACGCATCGGTTTGGTCATGGAGGTGGCTCGCACCTCCATGATCCATGCCGGTGCACCCCATTTTCTGTGGCCGTTCGCTGTGCGCTACGCTTCTCACCAGCTTAACTTGTGGCCGCACCCTCAGCAGCCGCAGGTTTCGCCGACTCGTCTTTGGACTGGGTCTCCTGGTGACGCGTCTGCGTTCCACGTCTGGGGTTGCCTTGCTCACGTTCGTGCCTCCGGCACGGACAAGCTCACTGCCCGCACCCTTCCCTGCGTCTTCCTCGGTTTTCCCCTTGACGCGTCCGACTGGCACTTTTACCACCCCCCGTCTCACCGCTTCTTTCACTCTCACGACGTCACCTTTGACGAGTCCGTCTCCTACTACCGTCGCTTCACCCACCGCGGTCCCCCGGTTACCCCCCCCCTGTTCCTGGTCACTCCTTCCCCGGTAGTCCCTGCCCCTCCTCCTCCTCCTCCCCGTCCTGCCCCCTCTGGTGTGTCCCACGTCACCCCCCTTCCGTCGGTGGACCCGGTTGAGGAGTCTTCTGACTCTGGTGGCCCTGCTGCGCAGTCCTCGCCGGCCGCCCCTCCCCCGGCGTCCCCTCCCCAGTCCCCTCCTCCACCGCCTCTGCCGCCGCCGCCGTCGCAGCACCCGTTCGCTGACTCTGG